CAGGTGCTGGCTCTGAACTTTCCTGCCTGAAATCGACATCTTTCGCTTTCGCTCCTATTTCACTAGCCAGAGCACCTCACATACCCATGCTGGCCTTCCACCAGGGCCTCGTGAGCGGAGTGATGATTTGTGAACAATAACAGTCTGACACATTGCCTCTCCAGTTGCTTAGGCTTGGTTATTCCTGAACCAAGTTTAGGATTTTCTCCAAACGAGTGTCTGAAGTGGGGGCTGGGGGACATCATAATGGTAACAATAATAACATCTGTCAAAAGTTCAGAAACTGCTGGAGTAGAACCAATGAACCACCAAAGCAGTAATTAGTAAAAAAAAATGTACTGTGCACACACCAAAAAGATAGTTCAAGAACTGGGAGCACTCAAACTCAAACATGGAATGAGGTTTAGGGGTTTATTGTTATAAAGCAGCTTATTCAGTGGGAAGGCAGTGTCTATTTTTCAGAGTGATGTAAGAAAATCCTAATATAACCTAGAGTGATGGGTTATATTAGGATTTTCTTACATGATAGGGAGTTGGTTAGTGGTTACCTCTGATCAACCTTGGGAAACACTGTTTAGTTTATGATTCCTAGAGGTTTAAGCAAGAAACGACCCAGGTCAAGTTAATCTTGAAAACAAAGGTAAATGAAGCTTTGTTTATATGACTAACCTGGTTTCATCTGCTCGGAGCTTTCAAGGCTGACCTCCGTTTTTTAATGTTAACACACTTAAAGTTCATTGAGTGGTAGTTTTCCATGCATGCATCCCCTCCATGCACTTTTGCATTTGATTCTCAGAGTAACTCATGGAGGTAGTTATCTCTATCCCCACTTTATAGATGAGGAAACTGAATAAAGAGATTAAGGGCACTGGACTGCCAAATAGCTGAAATTCAAACCCAAATCACTCTCATTTTACTTTTTAACTATGTTTTTATTGATTTCAGGGAGGAAGGGAAAAGGAGAGAGAGAGAAACATCAGTGATGAGAGGGAATCATTGTTTGGCTGCCTCCTCCATGTCCCCAACTGGGGATTAAGCCCACAACCTGGGTATGTGCCCTTGACTGGAATTGAACCTGGGACCCTTAGGTCCACAGTCCGATGCTCTATCCACTGAGCCAAACCAGCTAGGGCAATCATTCTCATTTTAAGGTGTGTGTTTCTACTCTAACATAGTGGTTAAGAACATAGGCTCTGGTGATAAACTCGCTATGCTCAAATCCTGGCTGGTGCCGGTAACTACTTTTATGACCTTGGGCAAGTTCTGAAACTTCTCTCTGTTTCTGCATCTGTAAATTAGAGGTAGTAACAGTACCGCCTCATGGTTGTTTTTTTTTTTTTTTTTTTGTGAAGTTTAAATATAAAAATTAATGCATGTAGAGTGCTAGTGTTTAGAACAGAACCTGGTAAATTGAAAGTAGTGCTTGTGCCCTAGCTGGTTTGCTCAGTGGTTAAACCATCAGCCTGCAGATTGAAAGTTCCCAGGTTCGATTACCATCAAGGGCACATGCCAAGGTTGCAGGCTCGATCCCCAGTAGAGGCAATACAGGAGGCAGCCGATCAATGATTCTCTCTAATCATTAATGTTTCTATCTCTTTCCCTCTCCATTCCTCCCTGAAATCAATTGGAAGAAGAAGAAGATAAGTAGTAGTAGTGGTGCTTGTTAGTATTGTTACTTAGCAATGTTTTGGAAAACTCCATTGATAATTCTACTCCTCTTCCTTTAAAAAAAAAAAAAAAAAAAATATATATATATATATATATATATATATATATATATAAATATATATTTGATTTTTTTACAGAGAGAAAGAGAGAGGGATACAGAATTAGAAACATCGATGGGAGAGAAACATCGATCAGCTGCCTCCTGCACACCCACTAAAAGGGATGTGCCTGCAACCAAGGTACATGCCCTTGACCGGAATCGAACCTGGGACCCTTCAGTCCACAGGCCGGTGCTCTATCCACTGAGCCAAACCAGTTAGGGCAAACCCTCCCTTTTGTTTCTTCCTTATTCCTATCTTCTTTTTGAGAAAATTCCTAATTCCTTCCTTTGAGAATTACTGTTCTGGATATTTATCTATTTCTGGACTAATACTGCACCAGCATGGAAGGTGAACTGTAGGAATGCCATTGCCTTCAACCCCACTGTATATCTCAGTTTCCAAGACCTTCCTTGCTTGTCATATTTACATTAATCATTTATCATATAAAGTTCTGGCTTGTTTTATGTGGGTGCAGAGCAATGATCTGAAACACAGGAGTAGGCTGCCTAGAGTGAAGGTAGTATCACTGGGCCTGCTTCTTGCTGATCATTTTTTCCAGTTACATTTTTAAAGTTGCTGGTTTTACTATAGTTTAATTTTGGAAACAACATACTAATTTTTCCCCTGTGAAAACTGTGGCAAAACCAAGTTAGTACAGTAGCAAGTTGTGCTTGGCACAGGTCTATTGGTCATTGGCCTTGTATTTTATTTTATTTTATTATTTAAAAAAAATATATTTTATTGATTTTTTTTACAGAGAGGAAGGGAGAGAGATAGAGAGCTAGAAATGTCGATGAGAGAGAAACATCGACCAGCTGCCTCCTGCACACCCCCTACTGGGGATGTGCCCGCAACCAATGTACATGCCCTTGACCGGAATAGAACCTGGGACCCTTCAGTCTGCAGACCGACGCTCTACCACTGAGCCAAACTGGCTTCGGCTTGTATTTTATTTTCTAAAATTTTTTAAATTAATTTTTTTAGCCCTAACTGGTTTGGTTCAGTGGATAGATGTCAGCCCCAGAAGGGTCCTAGGTTTGATTCCGGCCAAGGGCATGTATCTTGGTTGGGGGACACATCCCCAATAGGGCGTGTGTAGGAGGCAGCTGATCGATGATTCTCTCTCATCGATGTTTCTAACTCTCTATCCCTCTCCCTTCCTCTCAGTAAAAAAAAAAAAAAAAATCAATAAAATATATTTTTTAAAAGTAATTTTTTTAGAGAGAGAGGAAAGAAGAGGAACAGTGAGAAACATTGATATGAGAGCAGAACATTGATCGAACTGCCTCCTGCACACCTGCTGCCAGTGATAGAGTCCTGGGTATGTACCCTGACAGGGAACTGAACTGGCAACCTTTTGGTGCCTAGGAAGACACCCAGTCAACTGAACCACACCAGCCAGGGCTGGTCATCAACACTTTGAAAACCAGTTACCGTTTGAGAAGGGCCTGCTGGGCTGGTGGAGTACTTATGGCAAAGTGTGCAGAGCTCTTTCCGTCGGTAAAGAGAACTAACCAGTTCCTTCTCAGTTTTAGTGCTTAAGATAAAATGAAGCAGATTGACTTGTAGACAAGTTGAAATCTTTTTTACTTACCATCTTATATTTTTTCTTTTAAAAATTAATTTCTTACATAAAGCAGAAAGATAAGCCATTCTACTTGTCTATTTGCATACTTGAAACAATACATAGACTTCAAGTGCTGGTTTGGATTGTGGTTAATTTGAAGTTAGAGTGTAAATCCCCATGAGCACACTGATGATTTCTGGTGCTGATGTGTTTTTTTCTTCTGAAGTAATTTAAAATAATATTTTTAGAGTTTTGGTCTGGAAATCTCTTCCTTTTTATTTTTATTTTTTTATTTCTCCCCAGTCTATATTTGAATATTTCAATTTAGCTGTGTGGATGGAGGAATGATAAGAGACAGCAGGAAGAAAGTTTGAGAGAACTCGATTAGGGCATATTATTATGTAAATAAAGTGAAAGCTAAGATTTTGATGGTTTTCCTGTGCTTCAATTACCATCAAGCCAATCTTAGATTATCTTATACTTCTGAAGGATCCAATAAATTTAGATTTTCTAGAGATAGCAGATTGGATCATAGTAATTTAACCATCTTTTCTGCTTATTGGACTTAAATTGTGGATCAACGAGGCATCAAGTACCATATTAAACATAACTGATGTCTTTAATTATGTTACAGATATAAATTTGATCCGTGCTATTCTGTATGGATTAGGATAGGGGTTTATACATAAATGTTACTATAAGAAGATGTATCTTCCGATATGCAGAGTCATGCTGGAAATATCCATGAGTTTCCTCTTTTTCACACTTAGATTGTTAGGTTAGGTTGAAACTAAATTCTAATTCCATTTAGTTTTATAGAACAGCCAGCCTTTGCTTCTTCCTGACCAGTTTCCAATTATTTCGCCCTTTTCCTCTAAAATCCATGGAGCAGAGTTAAGCACTATCTTCCCTCTAATTTCATAGCATATTTGAGGGAGCTTTGCAGAGAATGGAACAAGTTGATACAGTAGCAAGCATGAAAAAGGCTGAGTTCTTGAATCATAGTTGCATTGTGCTAAATTATTTGGGGAGCAATACAGCTGTTATTATTCAAGAGTAAAGTGACAAAGGAGAACAACATATATTTTTTTCAAGGTAATCATTCAGATTTATTTTTAAAAGGAGAGGATGGTTCTCATTGATTTTATAAGAGCAATGGCAACAGTCAGCCATTTCTTTGGCTAATTCATACAATTCTTAAGTAAAATTTAAGCCCAGTTACTTTGATAGGATTTAAAGGAATAAGACATATGTGGGGGGGAAAATGATATTAGATCTGTATAATTCTGAATCATAAAATTAAGTTTAAAAAGGTAATATTGGTCCCTCAAACACTGGTATTCAAACTTTAAAAATCAATCAAGAGAAAAGATTAATGGTGTTTCTTTGGCACTAAAAATGTAAAGCTAGGACCAAATTGTTCTATTTTCAGACTTAAGATACAAAGAATGATATTTAAAGACATTTGAAATGGCTATTAAATTCTCTTCCACTGGTGAAGAATCTCCTATGAAGTACGCTTAGAAGAAATCCCTGAGTACATTGCTTAGCGAAAGCAGTATCTGTGTATAAGGTTCCCTCCACAGTGCTTGTAAATAGGGTCACCAAATGCTTACTAGAGTAGAAACGAGACATTTACAAAATTAAAATGATGTTTGAACACCTTATCCACTCTTGGGTAATCCCGAAAACCATCCGCTTATACTCTTTCTATTTTGCTTTAGCCATTCAATATTGTTTTTCACTGTTTCCAGCGCTTGCTCCCTAGGTTTCTCTCCTGCTCCAGCTTCCGGATATTTTTTGAAGAAACTCTCCATCTACAAAAGAGGGGGAAATAATGAAGGAAATCATTTTAAGCACAATTATTCTTCTAGAATTTTATTCACAGAACTGGATTTGTTTGCTTCTTCCCTGGAAATTCAGTATCACTGCCCAACACTAAGGTGCACCTTTTGCCGAAACTGGTTTGGCTCAGCGGCAGACCATCGGTCTGCGGACTAAGGGTCCCGGGTTTGATTCCGGTCAAGGGCAAGTACCTTGGTTGCGGGCACATCCCCGGTGGGGGGTGTGCAAGAGGCAGCTGGTTGATGTTTCTCTCTCATCGACGTTTCTAGCTCTCTATCTCTCTCCCTTTCTCTCTGTGAAAAATCAATAAAATATATTAAAAAAAAAAAAAGATGCACCTTTTGGCCCATCATTTAGTTGGAGCCTGCCTCTCGGAACAGCCATGATTGTCCATGGCTTTTGGACGCCTGGCAGCACGTCAAGCCGCTAGAGACGCCAACATGCTGGGTGGGGGGAGGGGTGGGGTTTCGGAGGGGAAGGGCAGCATAATGGCAGTTGGCATGCCTATTCCTGCTTCTGCTGGTTTCTTTATTTTGTGTACATGGCTTGGGGTCTCCTTGGAAGATTTGGTGTGTGGAATGATGACTTTGCTTAGCCTTCCATTCCAGGGGGCAGGAGCATTTTAATATACTTCCAGTTCACTTGTTAAGTGAACTAAACAAATTAATTTTTTAAAATTGATTTCAGAGAGGAAGGGAAAGGAAGAGAGAGCTAGAAACATCAATGATGAGAGAGAATCATTGATTGACTGCCTCCTGCATGCCCCCTACTGGGGACCGAGCCGGCAACCCCAGGCATGGGAATTGAATCCGGGACCTTTCAGTCCACAGGCTGGCACTCTATCCACTGAGCCAAACCAGTTAGGGCTGGGGGGAAAAAAAATCTTGGTCAAACCTGGTTCTATCCTTCCGATTTCCTCCAAAACTCAATTCTAGTATTATTTATTATTTGCAAGAATCAGAACTACTTTGTTTCTTAACAACAGAGAAGACTGTTAACATTCCAATATCTAATACACAGAAAATCCATACAATGTGTCCAACATGAATATACATTGTGTTCCCTCTGGGAACTGACATGTGTGAAACCTCAAAGCTTTGGGTTAAGTTTTGAAATTCCAAAACGATGAATTCTGAAAAAAATCACATTTCGACCAATTTATTCCAGGGTGACATTTGCCAGGAGAGGAGAGACATGCTGCTGTTCACATGTCTCAACTTTCTCAGATTTCAAACTTTGTGTGTTTCTCGCTTATTTGAATTTTTTTCAGTTTATAAGAAATAGGTATACATTTAATTAGATATAGGGACTACTTCTTTATCCTTGTCTTCTCTGATCTTAATAGAGAAAATACCATCTCTGATTTTTAGAAAAGCTACGTTTGTCACTTCTGAGACGAGTCCAGACAAATCTGTGCCCATACCTCCCAGAGCTGGAGCTCAGTGTTGAAGGACTCTGTTATTGAGACAATCCGGCCAAGGGTCCTGTCATTGAGTGTGAATCTGAAGAGAAATTTAGGGGAGTAAAAGGGAATATTAGTACACAGAACTTTACATCTTTTTCTCTGGATGCAAACATTGGCTTTTCATTGTATGGGTCATTGTAAAAGCAACTTTCAAAGTGAGCAAAACATTTAACTTAAGATAACTCCATTCAGGAGAAATCCTTTGTAAACTCCGCACTTCTTGGTGTAGGTAGATTCACACCAACTCTCCCCAGAGGTGGTAGACTGCTTGTGGCATTACCCAAACCAGCTCTCCTTTCTTCTGGTCACACGAGAACCAGCTAGAGCTGACACTTCTCAGCTTCCCTCGTAGCCAGGTGTAAACAGGTGAACCAATTATTATCAGTGAGACACAAGCGGAAGTGATATGTTCAACTTTCATCTCCTTGCTTACATGAAAGAAATTGCTTGTCTTCGAGCTCTTGGTTTTTCCCCACCTCCTCTTTCTCCAAGTTTCAACCACACAGTTAGGATAAGGCCCTAGGATTCAAGGGGCAAAACCACCTAGCAACTTGGAATGCTCACTTCAGGAGACTAGCCTAAATGAGAAAGAATTGTTTGTATCATTCCAGCTGCTGAATCTCTACGTTCTGTTACAGCAGGAAAGCTCTACCTTCTTTACGTTAACTACTACCCTATGCATCTTCCTGCAGTTACAGACATTTGCATATAGGCTGTGTTTTGTTTGTTTGTTCTTTGTTGTTTTTTGCTTTAGAAAAGCTTTATTAACTACTTGCATATTTTGGTTAGTGTATGTATCAGCTTGGCTAAGGAAAGAAACTCAAAGCTAAGTGCAAAAATAGAATGTTATTTCTATTCTTGTACCTTTCATACTTTCTTTTTAAAGAGCAAGAATCACAAATTTTCTTACAGACCGTAACAACAATGATTGTGATACAAGTCAGCATCTCATCACAATTAATCTCAGTACAAGAGAAAAAACAGCCACAACAATGCAAATAAAATGTGAACCACTGAAATGTTGGGAAAGGATAAAATAAAATATATTAACAGATAAAGAGGTCAACTATCAGTAGGATAAATTTTATGTTAAAAATGATTACATAGCAAAAGCAGAAACCAAAAAGATGAAAACTGACCACATTTTGTTACATACACTTTTTTCAAAGTTTTATACTAAAAAAGCCATAAAAATAAAAGTAAAAATGTATTACTTTGTTGTAACAAGAGCAAATATTTTCACTAAAAATTAAACTCTTTCCCTTGATCTGGTGTCTCTCTCAATTTCCTTTCTCTCACCTCTTCATTTATAGTCAAATCTTTCCCTACAATCCTAGTCTCTATCTCCTTACCACCCATTCATTGGCTTTAATTTAGATTCCTCCAGCATCATTCCACTGAAAAACTCCTTTTAGAGTTATTGAGAGATTTTTATGCAAATAAATCTAATGAGCATTTTTTTTTTTTTTTTAGCCTTCAGTTTACTCAAACCTTAAGTAGCATTTGACAAGGAACTATAGTGTCCTTGTAACCATTTAGCATCTCAAAAACATCACACATATACCCTGGCCGGGTGGCTTAGTTGGCTTGAAGAATTGTCCAGTACATCAAAAAGTTGTGGGTTCCAGTCAGGGCTCATACCCAAGTTTTGAGCTCAGTTCCTAGTTGCCGCCCAAGAGGCAACCCATCGATGTTTCTCTCACTGATGTTTCTTTCTCTCTCCTCTCTCTCTCTGAAATCAATAAAAACATACCCTTGGGTAAAGGTTGCTGATGTTTTTTTTTTTTTTTTAAGTATCATATATAAAAAAAACTGAACTTATTGCTATTAGAATAAAAACCCTGCAAAGCTTGGTCTTTATCTTTCCTCTTTTCTGATAGTAAGTACTAGTATTCAGCCAGGAATGCTTCACCCTGGTAAAGTCCTGTCCTTCCTTCGGAATTCAATGTAACATCACCTCTTTAGGGAAGCCCTTAATCCCCAATTTCTCTAGGCTTGGTTGGTTTTCCCTTTATACTCTCTTAATGTGCTTGAACCTCTTCTGTTTGTAATTATTATAATTTTAATCATACATGTATTTGTGTGATTCTTTACTTAGTATTGGTCTCCATCACTAGACTCTAAGATCCATGAGAACAAGGAACCAGAATTGTTTTTTCCTTACCATTGTATCTTAATGCCAAGCACAATGTCTAATACATAGTTGATGCTGATAAGGTTTAATGGATGGGAGAATTATAATTAAAAATTAGATATCAGGTTTCATGTATTCTAATAGCAAAAATGTTTTAAAATGACAACTTTGGTTATTGGTAAGGACTAGAAAAATAGGTCAATTTATTGGTAAATTTTTGGGGGGATAACAATTACTTCTAATATCCTAAAGAAAATGTCAAGGACATTAAAAATTAAAAAGATTCAGTTTCAAAGATGTCCATCAAAACATCCTATTTAATAAAAGAGTAATATGCGAATTGATCATACCTCAGCCACAACCACAAGCCACGTCCACCAGCCAATCAGGAGCGAGTATGCAAATTAACCAAACCAAGATGGCTGTGGCCACCAGCGAACAGGAGGCTTGGCTTTCCCAAGCAAAGGAGGAAGCCAAGCTTCCTGCACACCCTGGCCAGCCCAGGCCTCCACTCAAGGCTACAACACACAAGATGGCCAGCAGGAGAGGACAGTTGGGAGGGACCAGTCCTGTAAGTGAGGGCAGTTGGGGGGAACCCAGGCCTGCAGGGGAGGACAGTTAGGGGAAAAACAGGCTGGCAGGGGAGCAGTTTGGCATCAATCAGGCTGGCAGGGGATGATCAGGCTGGCAGGCAGAAGCAGTTAGGGACAATCAGGAAGGAAGGCAGACAAAGTGCAGGTTGGGTTGAGGGACACCCTCCCCATGCATAAATTTTATGCACCTGGCCTCTAGTTATTTATATACTGGAAAGTTTAGAACATCCGGTTATCCAACAGCTGGAGATGGGCTAAATAAACTAAGATGTACCTGAACATCTATAATAATAAAAGCGTATTCTGCTAACCAAACTGGACATCCTTCCAGATGACTTTCCGGACAAAGCTGGGGCTGCGAGGGAAGCCTGGATCCCGGGCACCAGAGGGAAGCTGGTGTCGGCAGCTGGGTGAAGGAATGCCTACTCTTGCATGGATTTCATGCATCTGGCCTCTATTTAAAATATAATTGAGCATTAAAAATAACATTGAAAAATCATACTTAAAGACATGGAAAAACATCTTATAAAGCTATCTATTATATATTAATAAAAAGATGATATGCTAATTAGACTGGACATCTTCCAGACACTCCTTCTGACATCCTTCCGGACAAAGCCATGGTGGCGGGGGCTGAGGCAGAGGTGGTTAGGGGCGATCAGGTAGGCAGATGGCCCCTCACCAGGCTAGTCCTGACCCTCTCTTTCTCCTCCCTCCCCCCAGCAAGCAGTAGGAATGATCAGGTAGGCAGGCAGAGGTGGTTAGAGGTGATTAGGCAGGCAGGCAAAATGGTTAGGGGCGATCAGGCAGGCAGAGTGGTTAGGGGCAATCAGGCAGGCAGGGGAGTAAGGAGTGATCAGGCAGGCAGGCAGGTGAGTGGTTAGGAGCCAGTGGTCCTAGATTGCAAGAGGGATGTCCAACTACTAGTTTAGGCCCAATTCCTGTGGGATCAGGCCTAATCCAGCAGTCGGACATCCCCTGAGGGGTCCCAGATTGGAGAGGGTGAAGGCCAGGCTGAGGGACACCCCCCTCCCTCGTGCATGAATTTCATGCACGGAACCTCTAGTATCTATAATATGATTCCATTTCTGTAAATAAATAAATCAATAAACAAACAGCCATAAAAAATGATCCAAGGAAAAAAATCTTAGTGAAATTTTAGTGTGACAATAGGGTGGTAGAATTATGGGAGGTTTTTGCTTATCTGTATCTTATACAAAACAATTTATACTCATAATAAGAAAATAGGGACTTAGGAAGATGGGGTACTGGGTGAAAGAAGGTGAAGAAATTAACCGAAAATATATAAGCGTAGCCCGTGGACACAGACACCAGTGTGGTAAAGGACAGAGGGAGGCGGAGGCTGGGACTGGGTGGAGGTGGATAATGTGGAGGAAATGGGGGCATCTATAATAGTGCCAACAACAAATAAGTAATAAATAAATAAATGGATTTAAGAAAGGAAAGTTGCTATCATGATATCCTGCAGATTAAAAGAAAGTCTGCTAATTACGTAAGAAAACATATTATTAGTAACCTTCCATAATTTCTGTAATATTTGTTGTATTTTGTTCTTCGAAGCTAAAAATTAAAGGATATATTTGGGAATTAACAATGAATGGATTGAATAAAAACTGTAACTACCTGTATAAATATTAGAAGTATAAGAACAAAATATGTTCATTCCCAAGAAACCAGTACCATATAAAGTGTAGCATTTAAGGAGAAATATGTTATATATTTATTATATTGATTACTTTTAAAACTAAAGTAAGAATTTAATTATATCTTAAATATTTTGAAATATAATTATATAAAAATAATCTTCTTAGACTTAATATTTACCAAAGTATTATTGTTTCTCAAAATAAATGATTTTGATACACACAAAACTTTTATTAAATTATTATTTTGCTTGTGAGAGAGTGTTTAAGTGGCTTTAGTCATATTCCATTGACTTAACATTTCAGCTATAGTCATAAATTAAAACCATGCTTATTCATACCAAACTACTAATTTATTGGGTTCATCCAGCTTCACAGTTTCATCTAAGAGTTTAGTGAAATAAATAAAAAAGCAAAGAATAAATTCTGAAGACTCTTTGGAACTTTGTGGTTAAGTCTGGAAAGAACATTAGTGGTGTGGCCATCAATTGTCATAAAAATCACCTGATAAAAAAAATTTATAAAAAACCAGCTTATTTATTTTAGAATGACAATAAATTGCTCATAAAATGGAGGCAGTAAATCCACTCATTTTGAAGTCTGAAAAATGTTCAAGAGTTTAGAAATAGTTGGATAAAATTGGGCTAATTTATGTTTAATTTGTCATATCAAGTATTAATGGGATATTTATTTATTCAAACTAGCCATAATATTGGGCATTCTGAGTGTGTCCAGGATGTGGTTATTACATAATTTTATGCAATTGGCTATTTGAAATAATACCCAATGAGAATCAGATCACTAGACTGAGGAAATACTAAAAGCCTTAGGTGAGGGTTTTTGGTCTAGCACTGGAAATGGTTTATCAATTAATTTTCTTGAAAAAATTCAGTATCATGTTTAATAAATTTATTTTAAGGCCAGATGTTTATGACTTTTTTTTTCTGGACTTGTGCCTGTGGGATTTTGTTTGTTTGTTTGTTTGTTTATGACTTTTATTGCAAGGTAACACCTGACTTTATTTGTGGGTTTTTTTTTTTTCATATTACTCAGTTTCCTTTTAATATGAATGATTCTCTCATCTATTTTATTTTTGACGTTTGTTTTTCAGCTTATCATGGTATTATCACTTTTTAAGAGTTGTGTTTTGTTTTTAATATTTTTTTATTGATTTCAGAGAGGAAGGGAAAGGGAGAAAGAGACAAAAACATCAATGATGAGAGAGAATCATTGATTGACTACCTCCTGCACGCTTCTTACTAGGGATGGAGCCCACAACCCAGGCATGTGCCCTTGACTGGAATTGAAACTCGGGACCCTTAAATATGCAGATCCACACTCTATCCACTGAGTAAAACTGGCTAGGACAACACCTGTTTTTTTCTACTTCTCAATTTTTAAAGAGGAATAGCAATGAACTAATTTTTTAAAATGAAATATGCATTATTTGAAATAAATTACACAGAGCTGTTTAAATAGGCCTTGAGAAATACTTTACTTAATAAACAATTTGCAAAATGAACATAATTTACTTATCTTTTCACAATAATTCAAAAGTAAGCATTATTCTTTATCTACATAGGTTTCTTGCAGCATATACCAAAAAAAAAGTTTTATAGGTCTTTCAAATTAAAATAATATATACAGTAGTTGTCAGTAGGCATATACCTTCCAAAATGGAAGGTATTATATTGCATAATATGAAATGATACCCCAGATAACATGTTCTGAATAGATAGATTAATTCTAAATCAAGTATTTTATTGAAACAACTAGAGGCTCAGTGCACAGATTTGTGCACCAGTGGGGTCCCTTAACCTGGCCTGTGGGGATTGGGCTGATACTGTCTCTCCGACATCCTCTGAGGGATCCTGGGTTGCAAGAGAGCACAGGCCAGGCCAAGGGATTCTACTGGTGCATGATCAGGGCCAGGAAGGGACCACAGGAGGGCTCCAGGACATGTCTGGCCCGTTTCACCCAGTCCCCGATTGGCAGAACCCCAGCAGCAAGCTAACCTACTGGTCAGAGCATCTGCCCCCTGGTGGTCAGTGTGCATCATAGTGACCAGTCAAATGGTTGAACGAACTGTCAGACACTTAGCATATTAGGCTTTTATTATATAGGATTATAAACAGATAAACAAAGCATCATGTATGCATGCTCATGCATCAATCAATTTTCATAGAGATGGATGAACTATCACAATCAATCATTGCAATAGAAAAGGCAAAATAGTATCACAAATAGGTAAAAAGCAATGTACATTATCTTGGTTGAGAGCTAGAGATTTAATCTGGATCTTAGAAGAATAAGAAATGTGAATCATTCTAATGGCACTTTGGTGAATTGTAGTGTAGGAAAGAGAATACAAATAAGAGTTATCATCATAGTTAATATTTCTGATAAGGCAGTCAATTAGGCAGTGCTGAGGGAAAGACAGATGAGATTAGAAGGGGATAAGAGAGGCTATTTCCTGGTGTGGGAATTATAGACAGTGAAGTTCTTTTGGTCAATGTTTTTATATTTGCTTGGGATACATAATCTATATTCTATTTTATACTCTGCAAAAGAAATATATTTTTAATGGAAATAAGCATTACATTTAGAGGAATAGTAATATTTCTTTTGGGGAAAAAATCTCTTTAGTTAATTGGCTATTTTACATTTTAAAACTCTTAATGCCTGGGAAGCAGTTTCTTCTTAAGAACTTTTCAAAATACCTAAAGTTTAGTTATCTGGTCAAGGGAGATAAAAGCTATCAGTCATATATGCTCAGTAAGATATAGGGCTCAATGTGAACCCAGGTCCAATAGTTCTTTTTTAGTTTTCATTAAATATTCATTGAGAACTAAGTATGTGCTATCGCAACAGACAGAATTATATTAACTTGTTTTAACCAAACTAAAAATAATGTGATTTAGGCTTCTCTTCAGATTTTAGAATTCTATAGATCCAATGGAAACAATATTTTCCCAAAAGAAATTATGCTAAAAATTAATTAGTATATTGCTTCCCTGGAAGGGGAAAAATCCATGATCCATTACCTCTGGTGATATACTATTTCAGATATTGTATAGCTGTCAGAGAAAGTACAGTAAAGAGAAAAAGAACTGTAGATAGTATCCAACAAAGAGCACAACAAAACATTATCTGATCATCCTACCTGTTGACTAGATATTCCCAGTTGAGCTGTATCCAATTCCAGGCCATGCTCTTCCCATAGCTGTTATATGAGATATATCGGATGACTGTAAACAGATCCTGACTTTTAATAAGGTTTGAGTCCTTGAGCAAGTCCAAATACCTAAGAGAAGCCAAAAATTCAAAATGAACTTTTAATGTTCACCCTTAGCTGAATTCCAATAGAACATAGCGTTCATTCCTGTAATTCAATTCTTGAGGCACTAAGCAATAAACTTAATTAAATATGACAAATAGGAAAACACAATTTAAAGTTTTCTAAAATATTTAACTGTTTGTTTTAAAAAAACAAACACAACCCAACCCATGATTTTTGAGGACTAGTGAAATGTAAGCTACAGGGACATTAAAACTTGAATTATTTTGAAAGTATTAAAAACAATATAAAAACACAATTTTAACTATTAATTATTTGTGACAAAATGAATAAATCATTTATTTTATTACTCTTTTTTTTAACATATTTCATTTATTTTTTACAAAGAGGAAGAGAGAGGGATAGAGAGTTAGAAACATCGATGAGAGAAAATCATTGATCAGCTGCCCGCAACCAATGTACATGCCCTTGACTGAAATCAAACCTGGGACCTTCCTGTCTGCAGGTGGACACTCTATCCACTGAACCAAACCGGTCTCGGCATCATGAATAAAATGTTAAGAATATCATGCTAAGTGAAATAAGTGAGATAGAAAAAAACAAGAACCATATGATTTCACTTATACATGGGATATAAAACTGAAAGCAACAAATGAACAAACAAATCAGACAAAAACTCATAGACACAGACAACAGTACAATGGTGACCAGAGGGCTAACAGGCTGAGAAAGGGTTGTAAAAGGTAAAGTGGGCCAAATATATGGTGACAAAAGAAGATTGGACTTTGGGGTGGTGGGTACACAATGAATATACAGATGATGTACACTTGAAACCTATATAATTTTATTAACTAATGCCAACCCAATAAATAACAAAAATAAAAAATAATAACTGGATCTATTGAATAGAAACACTTTATCCACTTACAAGTATTAAAAAGAAGCCAGTAAGTTAAGAGAAAGTATTTATAGTCTAACCAGAGGCCTGATGCACAAAATTTGTGCAAAGGGCTTAGACCTCACAGGCCCAGCTTTGTCTGGAAGGTCGTTCTGCTGTTTGGTCTAATTAGCATATTAGCTTTTCATTATATAGGATTCTCTGTGGGATACAAGTTGCCTTATTAGTTCTTTTATAGAATGTATGAAACATATTCCTAATATAACCTATGTGGTTAGATTGGTTTGCTATAATTATAGTATAATGCAAATAAGTCCAAATCAATAGGTTAAGTGACCAAACCAATGGATTTTTATTAAATTTATGTCTTGGTTGTATCTAAACATGCTGTAAACTGTTGAACTTCCAGAAACTGCACTGGACGAGGGCCCCTGAATGTTTATGCAATATATCTTTTATCCTCTAGTTCATAAGACCCTTAATAAGGCATCTAAGTACTTGCTAATTTTCTCATCAGATACAATCAGTACAATGACATTCAAGTAATGGATCAATATGATGTTCTGTTGACTGTCAAGATGATCAAGTTCTTGGTGGACTATTTAGAGCAGTGAGCAGGAGAAATGACTGCTTTATAATAGCGTATTGTTGAATGCGTATGATTGGTCCTGCCAGGTAAAAACAGTTTCTGGTAGTTCTTACAAATTGGTTATTGTGTGGTAATTTATCATTTATATTCTGCCTCTCCCATAAACCTCAAGGGTAGATATAATCTTATTCATTTTTAGTCCCACTTTTTATATACCTTTACATAAAAAGGACATCAAAAGACTTGGTTAAACGACCCTGGCTGATTTGGCTCAGTGGATAGAGTGTCAGACTTCAGACTGAAAAGTCCCAGGTTTGATTCTGGTCAAGGGCACATGCCCAGGTTGCAGGCTTGACTCCCAGTAGGCGGTGTGCAGGAAGCAGCCTATCAATGATTCTCTCTCATCACTGATGTTTCTATCTCTCTCCCTCTCCCTTCCTCTCTGAAATCAATAAAAAATATATTAAAAAACGATTTGATTAAATGAATGAAGTAATTAAGAAATAATAACTAAGCAAAAAAAAATAAATTAAGGCAAAAGTCAGTTGGCTTGTGGCATGGGTGTGGAGAAGATTTATAGATAAGCTTCAAGAAATCTTCATACATTTTGAGTGAAATGTAAATATTTTATTTGTGTATATGCATATTGTGGCAGACATTCCTCCTCTGCTGATAGAAACTGGTTTTGTTCTGGGCTTGTTCTTGACTATAGAAAAACTAGATTCCTTCCCCAGCCCCAGAGTATCACGATTGACCCAAATCAGTCTAAAAAATTCTGTTCATCCTACTCCACAAATGGTTATGTGGTAGACCCAGAGTATGACTCAGAATGATCAAGAATGGCCCAGTTCTGGATAAGGAGGGGGAAGTGGAGATAACAGACCTCTTAACATAAAAGACAGGGGAAACTCTTTTGCTCCTTTCTTCCACTGAACATATATCTATGAAGACAAAATGTTTGGAACTCTGAAAGTCATTAGCCATCCAACAGGTTGAGAATGACAAAACAAAATGGGAAAGAGCCTAAGTCCTCGGTGAAAACTGTCTTCCTCTAGAACTTTTTCATATGAGATGCAATTTCTTTACTATTTAAGCCACTATTAATTACACAGATAGTTTATTTTTTGCAGGGAAAATAACTGTTGATAGATTTTCTTGGAAACATACTTTAATAGCATCTATAAGAGACTGGGATGCATAAACCAAAACCCACAATTCCTAAAAGTAAAAAAAAAAAAAAAAAAAAAAAAAAAAAGTTCTAATTTACCTTGACAGAATAGTAACATTCTTGATTGATGCTAATGCATACAGCAGCTTTTCTTTTTCTTGAGCTAATGGAGTTTTCTGATATTGTTCAAGTGTGTAGTTCCATGAAGACTCATTGCCAGAGTTCTGCATCCCATAACGATAGACCAGAAGCCTGAGATTTACAGGAATGCTAGAAGAATAAACAGTGTTTCAGAGATTTCCATTTTTCATTGTGAAGTTTAAAGTCTTCTGGAAATGAACACGTGGTGAATAGTCACCTTACAGTCCCAGTGAGCCACTGCTGAAATAACTGGGAAGCGTTGCCCAAGGCTTCTTGGTCTCCCATCTTGCATGCGAACCCTAACACAGAGGTGCGGAGTAACCTTAGAAAACAAACACACACAAAGCTGGGCCTTGAGTACTTTTCTACACATTTTAGAACATGCAAACAGATATTGAATGGATGTTAGTTTAAAAAATGTAAAAAATAACTTTGTGAGGTGGTCTCCAGTGTCATTCCATGTCAGATGATCTGCAACCGGCTTCACTTGGCCTCGGAAGTATTCCTGAAATAAAAGCACCATGTACCATGAGTAACAATTCATTATTTATCAACTGTCTTTCAACTATTATAAACTACAGTCACACACCCTCCCCCATCATAACCTTTTTTTCTACTAGTTCAGAGAACATTGGACCTGTCACTAGGAAGAGGTGCTTTCCGTTCTTTATCACATTGCAATATTGCTTCAGGAAAAGTACATCCTGAACATTCTCTAGTGTTTTATCCAACTTTGGGTAAGCCTCTCTTAGCTTCCACTTCTTGTGAAATAGAATAACACTTGACATACTTGATCAAATACTGATGAAATAATAATATTATTTCAACATTTGTATATTGCCTTTGGATTTACAGAGGACATTTATATAACATAATCTTCATCCCATTACTATAGGCAGTCAAGTGCTGACATTCTTACTGTACAAAGAAAATTTAAGACTCAAATATTAAATCATTTGTCCAAGTTCTTTCATTTACTAAGTGGAAGACATTCGAATCCAGAATTTGTTTAAAATTACAAGTGTCTTGCCAAAGTGCTACATCATTTGTAATGATGACTATCTATATATGTAAAAAGTCACTGACCAGAACACAAAATGACTGGAATGACCAGTCACTATGACATCCACTGCGGCCAGTGAACTGGCCTGATTGGAGGATGGGGCCAGCTGGCCAACCTCCCATGGCCCCTTCTCCCAGGTGGCCCCACCCCTCATTGGCCTCTCTCACTCCAGTTGGCCAATAACCCTTAACCCCCCCCCTCCTCCCCCCCAGCTGACCTGGCCCTGTCAGCCCTATCCGGTGAGCTGGCCAGCAAACTTTCCGCCATCTCTTCCTCCTGCCATCTCTTCCTCCTGACAGGCCCGACCCTAATTCACCCTGATTGGGGCCAGGCTGGCCAGATTCCATTTATGCATGAATTCATGCACTGAGCCTCTAGTCTCATAATAAAATCTCAACATGGAAATAACAGCAGAAATATAATGTTATATTTTGGGAAGAATGAATTCATTTTGACCTAAATGAATACAGTAAAAATAGGATCTAGTTAGTACCTATGGTTTAAAATGTTGCCTATTTTAAATGAAGTATTAATTATTGGATTCCTTATAACACTAAAATATACCTTTAAGGGGTATATTAAACCAGAAATATTGATACATTTCAAGTTGAAAAAATAAACAGCATATTTTTGCTTTGTACAGTCAAGTCATTGTACTTTCCTTTGATTTCACTTGGCAAGGAAGATATGCTCTTGTCACCTAATGACTAAACATTTACTTTCATAAGGATTGCCATTAACATCACCTCAATGTCAGGGTATAGCTCTTTATCATCTTCAAACATGCTGATGATATAGGATACAGCTGAAATAACTCTCTGCCATGGTAAAAATTCATTTTCCATTTTGAGATACTTGGTCAAGTTCAGAGCCACCCCATAATCTAGAAGTTGAGCTCTAAAGAATTAAAAACAAAAAGGTTAATTAAAAAGATAAATTAGTTTCCGTTTAACAAAAAAAACTAATATGGGAACTATAGAATTCAATATGAACGAGAATCCTTTTATTACATGTTTAATAAAATGCATGTATGGTTGAAGCCTAATCAAAGACATTTGCTCACAGTGATATATTTTCAAACACCCACTAGTAAAGGAGAAGATAGAACATTCATATTATATATTAAAAAAAAAAATCCCTGTGGCAAAATTTCAGATAAAATAAAAGCCACTTAGCTATGTGGTTAATATTGGGAAGTAAAAACTTTTAAATTTTAGTTTCAGAAGCTAAATATAATAGCCAAATACACCATCATAAATGTATCTTATTGAAATGATTTGAATTTGAAATGACGAGGAAACCTGAATAACAGTACTAACAAACCATGAATGCTTAAAACATTTTAAGTGCATTTATACTTCCAAAAGGCATCTCTTTTCTTTTATACATTTATCAATAATAAGGCTAAATAAAAAGTGGATTTTGTTCCTCTAGGAAATTTGAAGTTACTTTTGACATTTCAAAGTTTAAAGAATCCAATATCTTACTCCTTAAAAGAGATTCTAAAACAGTTTGAAATCACGTTCTTAGGAAACTGTCATGCTTCAATTTCTGGCCTAAATTTATGGGAATCTTGTTTTTCCAAGTTACATTTTGAAAGTTTAAATTAAAGAATACATTTCAAGTTATTGAATCAGTAATATTGGTGCAATGAATGTTATTATGTTTGAGGTCATTTTGTGAATGAAGAAAAATGTAATTATATCTTGAATTCTTCCTAAGATCTTGATTAGAGATTGAACTAGCATTGGATAGATAAATACAAAAATCTTCAGCATCGTATAATTTTTACTCATGCGATATGATACAGTTTTCTTTTCAGTTCAGAAAGCTGATTTCTCATTTTCTGATTTGATTTAGAAAGAGTTATGTTTTGGATTATTCAGCTTCCCTTAATAAAAGTATAAACAATATTGAGAAATGGAATGTTTTATTAAGAATGTGTATTAAGTAAAAAATTTAGTTGTGCTAACATGTGAAGCTTGATAATTTTCTAATTTTAATGATTTTCTATTTTCTTTGAGGATAGAGCAACAATTACATCTAATCAGTGTTTTCTTAGGATACTTTCAAAGAATAGATGTTGCTCTAGGGATCAAATTAACAAAGAGGTTAATAAAATTTTAGGAAGAATGGCAGATAATTTGGTCAGAAATCAAGTGGGCTGCACATTTCTGGCAGGTGAAAAGATTAGAAGGGTCTTGGTTAAAAGGACCAAGAAGAATTGGGTAATTTGATACCATAAATGGAGGAGAGAATCTAATGATTTGAAGATTAGAGGTCCTGACCAAGTACTACTAGTTTGTATTCAAATGTTGAAAATCAATATCTTGTCTTAACACCTCATTTTTCCAGCCACTTGATAGCTTTGCAATAGTTCCACTTTGATATCACTCATTTTCTTTCAGTCTAACTCCTAAGGTCATAACACTGGACTGGGAGTGATTTTTTGATGCTTGATATTATAGATGATAATATTGTGAGAATTAAAATGACGTACTCTGAAACGTCTATACATGGAATTGGTAGTATTTGATATGTCAGAGGAAAAGCAATACCATTTAGAACCATGGTTCTCAAATATCGATATATCAGCAGCATTGGGAAGTTGGTGAAGTCAACTTAGGCCCCATTCCCAGAATTTCTGACTCAATGGGTCTTGAATAGGGCCTAAGTATTTGCATGGCTCACAAGTTGCTAGGCGATGCTGATATTGCTGGGATTACATGTGAAGAACTGTGCTTTTCAGGACAAAAAAAAATCTATAGTGCCCCACCCAGATCTCCTTACAATGTTGTGTTAGCTCACAGCTATCACCTTCTCCAGGCAATAGCCCGTGGCCAAATACGTCTATCTTGCTTCTAAGAGGTTATGCAACTCACACTCCTGACCACAAATCAACTGTCTGATTCAGGAATGAATGCCACAGCCAGCCTGGGTCCCTCTAATTGTTCCCACTCTGCGGTAAAACTCAAAGCTTCCTAGTAGAATCTGACAAACCTAGATTCCAAATGAGACCATATCTTTGCTCAGCTTTTCCCTCTGCCCCATCATGGTTCTTGCACTCTCTATCTCAAGCCAGTACTCTTCAGGAATCACATGTAAAGAACCCCCATTTCAGGCTCTGCATCGAGGGAATTTCACCTAAGACAGCATTCTTACTCAACTTTGAATCTCAAGTTATGTTTCTTTTTAAATCCATAGCAAACAAGCAGTTCTGAAAGCCAGACTTGGTTGAAGAATTTTCTTTGTTCTAAAATATTCCATTTACATAGTGAGAACCCAGCCTGAAGGACTCAAGTCAGAATTTCCCTATAATTCAGAGTGTAGAGAAGATGGAGGTTGTAACTTAAAGCAAGTTCCCACCAGACTCCATGGAGAAGAAGAGGACTAAGAGGTCCTCCTGTCTCCGGCTGAGGCATGGCAGGAAGTTTGGGGAATCTTATATCAGAGGTTTGTTTCTGCTTCCGGGGGTGTGACTCGAAAAGACCACAAAGTCCCCAACTCAGAGAAGCCCAGGTGTAGCATGGTGTCTCGGTAAACATGGCTCTTGTTGGGGCAGTAGAACCAGTGAGAGAGGTGCCTCAGTGGATGGAACTGACTCATATTCATGAGCCTTCAGGTGGTGTGGGGAGTTTTGGAAAGTTCCCATGTATCTAGTCTCTTGACATTAACTTGCCAATTAAATTCAGATTTCTGGCTTAAAACAGTCTCTTTGCTATCAACTAGATCCCATTTTTATCTCTCCTCATTTTCCTACTCACCATTTCCTTAAAAAATAAAAATAAATGAAAAGGCAGGTGTGCCATGGTGGTTGAGCAGCAGCCCAGGAGGTTATTCTTTAATTCTTGGTCAGGCACATGCCTAGGTTTTAGGCTCAGTCCCCAGTGTGGAGCATTCAGGAGGCAGCAGATCACTGTTTCTATCTCATCGATGTTTCTATCTCTCTATCCCTCTCCCTTCCTCTCTGAAATCAATAAAAATATATTTTAAAAACAAATAAATAAAATAAAATGGCAAAGCTGGTCATCTTGACATGGTTGATGTTCACCTGGAGCTTTTGATTTGCTAACCTGGCCTTCCTTCACCTTCCCTATCATTGGAGCCACTGGTCCTTAAATTCCCGTCACTGGCTGCTTTCTTTCTCATCAGTGGCTTAGGTGGTATGTTAGGCTGTCCTCTGTGCCACTTTCTCCTCACCGAGAAGCTCCCACTCCCACTCATGAGTTTGTTAGCCCGCCGCCTGCTTTCCTTTATGTTAGTCTTGACCCATCCCCTGGCTTTAGCACACAGTGGGCTGCAGAGCACGGCATAAGCTATTGAAAAGGAAAAAAAACAAAAGACACACACACACACACACACACAAAAACAAAACAAAACAAAAAAAAACAACAAAACAAAACAAAACAAAAAAAACACAACAACAACAACCTACTGCAACAGCTGTACAACAAAGGATATTTTTTTGTCTCAGTTTTGGCAAGGCCCCAAACCTAGGCCCTTTGACCTATACTCCAAAGTAAGATGCAGGTCCACCACACTGGAGCTAACATGGCCAGGAACAGGTTTTGGGACCCTTTGCTAATAACACACCACCATCCTAATGAAGAGGTTGGAGTGGCTAAGGGGGAGAAAGTGACATTGTAGAAGAGGGCTTTTGGGAGTGCTGTCAGTATACTGAGGCTGTCCCTTCACATCAAGCCTAGGAAATGGGGCCTTTAATGGGAACACCTGAATAATTTTACAGGTATATCCTAGAGCTTGGAGGCATAGTGGTCTTACACCCCGAGAAATCTATAGGATGAGAGGCCGTGTCTGGCTAGTACACTGATCTCAGAGTGAAGAGATGGGACTGCACGGGTGGCCTGTCCTTTCAGACTTTGTCAGGGCAAAGGATGGATGAATACTTGCTATGGACCAGAGTGGGTCAGCGATGTTCACCTGCCCCTCAAGTAACTGCAGGAGAAGCACCCGTGGCCACGAACGGGTGAGTCCACAAGGAGAAGAGTCAGTGTAAAATGCCACAAGGTTCAGAGGAGCAAAAGCAGACTGCAAGTTAGGGGTGTTCCTCCCTTCACCTGCTCTCCTTGCCTCGATGCTGGAGGAACCAGAGGCAGCATAATGAGAAGTAGGAACTTCACACAGGAAAATGGAGAGGAGACCAAGCACACTGTTCCTGGGGGGCTGGAAATAACTTTAGATGAAGCTGAAAATGTTGATGTTTTCGTTGGGCTGGGTATGATGAACTGAGCCTGCTTGAGAGACTCAAAATGACTGGATGAATTTTTACTCCCTATCTCAACTAATGTGTTCAGCTAGATATTCTATCTAGGGCAGTCAGAGTACTAGCTCCTCAAATCTGGAGACAAGGGAATCAAGAATACATGTATTTTCTAGAAGCATCCTTTCAGTCCTGCTTATGAAACATGATAGCTAGATTTCTTTTTGAACATCTGAATAGATCTGCATAAATTCTAGTCCCATCATAGGCACTTATCTGTCTAACTACACATTTCTCCTACAGTTTCAGACTGGTCTGGAGCCATCACTAATAAAACTGGTGCAGTCTGTCCCTCTCTGAGTCCTGTTTTGCAGAAGGAAATTGGACAATAGTTCAATAGCTAAGGTGTTTTTTGGACTGGTTATTGTGTGATTCTTGATATTTTTTGTTTTTCAAGTGTGTTTCACTCTCTTTCTGAAGCTCTTCAAAATGTTATGGGGCATGGCAAAGGAGCTGAGCAAATGTGAGAAAGTCTCTTGTGCGAGTTACTGGCTTTGCACACGGTTGAGAAAACTGCTCAAGAAGCTTTTGCTCCTTAAAGCACAAAGAACTGTGTGTGTTGTGTTGTGATGGGAATTAAGCCATAAAGGCATTACGATCTCTGTGTATCGTTTAACAGCAAAGATGCTAAGCTTTGTAATAGATCATTATGTATTACAGGATAGTTTTCCTGTGGGAAAAAAATCTAAATAGTTCTATTATGCTTTAAGATATTGATCATCTTCTTTCATCACTTAATTTCCCAGGTCTACTCAGTGCCTGGTACAGAGTAGGTGCTCAATAGATATTTATTAAATGAGTGAGTGACAAACTGTATTATAATGAATATACAATATAGTTCCCCCTTTTCCATAGAGGATATATTCTATATGTGTGTATGTTGTATTTTCCTATATGCACATGCCTGTGATAAAGTTTAATTTATAAATTAGGCACAGTAAGAGATTAACAGCAACTGCTAATAAAATAGAAAAATTATAACAATATACTGTAATAAAAGTTATGTGTCAGACTCTAGTTGATCACAAGTAACTAAAACTGTGAAAAGAAAAAATCTCTTCTTGAATAAGGGCCAACTACTGCAATTAACTTGTTATATGTTCAGGAGATTAAACTTGGAGATTCACTGTAGGGGATTATAATGTCTATTACCTACAAAAGGAATCTACACTATAAATTCAAAAGAGCTTTTCTAAATAAATGCTTCTTGGTTGCTACTGATCAATGGTGGATGTATTTTTACAATGTATTGAGCACTCGTGACAGGCCTTAAAGGTCTGCAATGTTTTCATTGCTTGATGTGCATTTTCTCATTTATTCCTAAGAGTTTTATAAAGTCATCTTCATTTTGATAATAAGGAAATTGAGCCACAGAAAGGTTAAGAAACTTACTCAAGATTATATAGAAGCAGGATTTTAATCTGGCTCATGAACCTGTTTAACCCTATAATGTTCCTCCTTAAAAATGTCAAGAAAAAGGACAGGTGGCCAATAGACATATGAAAAGATGCTCAATGTCACTAATCATCAGAGAGATGCAAATTAAAACTACAATGAGATGTCACTTCACACCAACCGTAATGGCTACCATCAATAAATCAGCAAACAAGTGTTGGTGAGGATGTGCATTGTTGATAGGAAATCAGACTAGTGTAGCCACTGTGGAAAATAGTGAGAGTTCCTTCAAAAAAATAAAAAATGGAAATGCCTTTTGACCCAGAGATTCCACTTCTGGGAATATGTCAAAAAAAAATCTCAAAACAGCAATTCAAAAGAATATATGCACCCCTAAGTTTATAGCAGCATTATTTACAACAAGAAGCCCAATGCACAAAAATTCATGCAAGAATGGGCCTTCATTCCCCTGGCTGCTGGCACCGCCTTCACTCCACTGGAGCCACCTTTTCACCTTCCCACGCTGACCAAAGCCCAGAGCAGCCCCCGCTACTTGGTGCCTGCATATGCAAATTAATCCACCACCTCTGTTGGATTAATTTACATACTCACTCCTGATTGGCTGGTGGGCATGACAAAGGTATGGTCAATTTGAATCTTATTCTTTTATTAGTATAGTAGATGAGTATAGTAGATGAGTAAAAAGCTGAGGTATATTTACACAATGGAATACTATGCAGCTATAAAAATCATCTCTTTGAGACAGCATGGATGGACTTGGAGAACATTATGCTATGTGAAATAAGCCCATCAGAGGAAGGCAAATACCACATGATCTCACTTATATATAGAATCTAATGAACAAAATAAAAATGGAGGCATGGGAACCTAGAACATACTGACAGCTGTCAGAGGAAAGTGGGGAGAGAACTGGAAAGAAGAAGGTGAAGGGATTAGGCAAAGAACATATACACTGAGTGGCCAGATTATTATGATCTCTGAACACATAATAATCTGGCCACACAGTGTATATCCTATATAATAAAAGGTTAATATGCAAATTGTCCCCTTAACCAGGAGTTCGACCAGCAGGGAGTATATATATATACTGAGTGGCCAGATTATTATGTGTTCAGAGATCATAATAATCTGGCCACTCAGTGTATACATAACCCACAGACACAGACAACAATGTGGTGATGGCTGGAGGATAAGGGCTGGTGAAGGCAGGCAAAAGGGAGATGGAAATAGGGACACCTATAATAGTGCCAACAATAAAAACATCCTAAAAATAAAAATGTCAAGAACATTTTCTGATTTCCAGTAGTCTACCAAGAAAGTCTGTAGGCATACGCGCCTATGCCTTTAGTGTTTAATGGTATCCTTCCAGCCAGGTAGTCAGCTCATATTTAATGAACATTCACTATGGTGTGTCACAGTCAGGAGCTGGGGATAAAGTAAATGGGACCATAATCTGGGTGCTTACTCTCATGATAGTTCCAGTTTGGTGAGTGAGACGGTCAGTTACTAAGCAATGGCAATATATGTTGTGGGGAAATATAACATATATCAGGCCATTGAAGGCTTCCTTCTCGCTACATTGCTCATACATAGCTCATATCTATGAAGCCACTACATAGCCAGCAGAACAAGTTACCGTATTTTCCAGCATATAAGAAGACTTTTGAAATGAAAAAAAGTCAATCGAAAATCGGGGGCAAAAGACCAAAATTGCACAAAAATTGCCTGCAGATCTTAATGGCAAAGTAAGTCCTTTCTTTGAAGTGGGGCGTAGTCTTATACAGCGAATAAAGGCCTAAACCTATGTTTTAACTGTAAAATTGGGGGGTCATCTTATACGCCGGAAAATATGGGGCTGTGTCCCTGGCTCCTACATGTGTCACAAATTCAACAAATACCTGTTGAATTAATGGAGTGAGGCTACCTGAAAAAAAAGAAAAAAGAAAAAAAACCCAAACAAAACAAACAAACAAAACAAAACAAAAAAAAAACACCCTCAGAGTCACTATGGTTACTCCTCCTCCATTACCACAATCTGTGTTATTTTTTAAATGTAGATTACCTTGAGGCCATGAACAAAACGTCATAATTTCTAGTGGTATCTTAATTCTAATCAATGCTAGAGCACAGTGCCTCTTTCTTCTTATCCCAGTGACCTGAACAAGATTTGATGACTGTAGCAATAAAAATTTTACAATGGGATTCAGCTCACAGAAATGAATTTATGAAACACATTGTTTGCCTTTTTACTAAATTAAATTATGAAGGTGTACTTTTAAGCATTTGCAAATGTCACTCCTAATTAGCTCAAGAACTGATATAGACAAACTCTGCTCAAAGTCAACAGCATAAGTGAGCCGAAGCCCATTGTAAAATTTTTATTGCAACAGTCATCATTAATGTTAAGGGCTAAAAACAGTATTTTGGCTATGAGGATCATATGAACTTTACAAAAAAAAATTTAAAGAAAACAATAATGTTATAAATAGTGGCTTTGGATATTTTAAACTAAAATTCATTCTTTAATTTTGTTGTTACTCATTAAAAAACTTTGTAACACTCGGCATGGCTCAATGGATGAGTGTCGACATATGAACCAGGAGGTCATGGTTCAATTCCTGGTCAGAGCACATTCCCGGGTTGTAGGCTCAATCCCCAGTGTGGGGCAAGCAGGAGGAAGCTGATCAATGACTCTCTCATCATTGATGCTTCTATCTCTCTCTCTTCCTTTCTGAAATCAATAGAGAGAGAGAGAGAGAGAGAGATCTTTATTTAAATATATATATATATATAAAATTTGTGAAAAAATCTACAGTATTTTAAATAATCTACCTCATTCAAAAAAACCCACCTTGCCAAGGCAAAAGCATCATCAATAAAACTTGCACGGTCAGCAGAAGAAAAATCCTGGGAAGAGGGAGAAAAAGAGGTAAGAAATGTGATTCTTAAAGCAAAGTGTTAAGCTGCTGTTCTTAGAACAAAAGTAAAACAATCCTCAGTCATTGCTATTCTTACCTTGTGGTTGGAGGAAAGATTGGTAATGATCTGGTCCCAAGTTGATGTTTCATAATTTACACGATAAAACCCAATATGATCTGGGTTTATTTTGAGAAAAACATTTCCACTAGAATTAGAAGGCTTCAAACTGATTCCTGTGGTAATCAATAAACAGTAATGATAAACACATTTGCATATAATGTAAACACAGAGAAATTAAGCCCAGGAGGTAAAGAGAACAGAAATATGAGTTCAAAAAGTTGAGTTTGAATTGGATCCAAAGCCCCAAAACCTAATTCTAATTTAGTTGCCCAACTTTAGAATGTCACTGCAGTGCATAAGCTGAAAAAAAGAGGAATGTTAGTAAGAGTCCTGTAATTTGTGACTTATACTTTTTATTGGCAGAAGCTTGCCAAATAATTTTATGCTTATCAATCCTTCAATAAAAGAAAATGCCTAAAAACAAATAAATCATAATGGATTAATTAATTACACAAAGAATATTCACTAGAACACCCGGGGAGGAGACAAAAATGTAAACATTTAAAATAATATTTTGTTTCGTAAAAATCAACATTCAAATTGATGAAAATGGCTATTGCTAAGCAGAATAATGATTTGAGAATCAGTAACTCCTTTAAAAGCTCAAGGCTTTCGATATAACTGAAATCCAAACATGACATTCTTGATTTCTTAATCCATTTCATACTTGCTCTTCCAATTTCATTTATCTTTGTAAAGTCTTCTACTTCCTTATTCCAACTGGTTACCTAAATGCCATTACATCAATGGATTTTCTGAATCAACTTTCTAAAGTACATAAGGCTCTAGTAAATAAATGTTAGAAGCTCAACATTGAATGAACAGAGACTTATGTTTTAAATACACTCTTAAAATAGCAGCTATGCCCTGACATGACCAGATTTGTGAGGCTCTACTACATATATGTGTATATTTGCATGGGCGGTGCACAATCTAAATAAGGGTGTGGGGACACTTAGTGTGTTTGAGGAACTGCACACAGTTGGATGTAGTGATGTAGGGTGCAGGACTGGAAAATAGGAGATGAGGCTGGAAATAGCACTGAGGCTTCTGCGTGAAACTGTGTTAAAGGATCCATTGGCTGAGAATGGAGAGATGGGAAAGACTTTTTTTTTTTTTTTTTTTTTTTTTTTTTTTAAGCAGGGAAACAAAAAGTTCAAGTCTGTTTTCTAGAAAGGTAATTTTGATAATGGCATGACATACAACTTGGAAGGAAACTCAAGAGTCCGCTGTAATGATCTAGGGCAAGAGAGGATGAAGGCTTACACTCAAGTGGAGATGATGAAATACGAAAAAGATGACATATTCAAGAGACACACCACAGGTAAAGTCAACACAATTCTTCCTGTGACTTGATGTGGCTAGTTAGCGGAAGGGGAACACGGCTTGTATGATTGAATGAATAATGATGTCACCGTTAGGGAATAGTGGGAAAGGAATCAGGTTGGGAGGAAAGATAACTTAAATTTTGGAAGTGTTTGCAAGGTTTGGAAGATATCCAGGACACCGTAGATTTTCATAATATATATTTGTAGCCTCTTCAACATGACAGTACGTTTCTTTAGGAACTTTCAGAGTGGGCGCCTGACAAATTATAAACTTTTACCTCGCTCTTCCACTATTTGTCTTTCTTTGTCATTCTCCCATGGACAAGTTGTTAAAAGGAAGTTAATCTTTTGGCAACTGTACACTTTGAATGTTTGTATCAGGAGGAGAGCCTCTTGCTAAGCACAGAGCCATATGTTGCGGGAGAAAGAGCATGGACTTATGAGTCTGACAGATCAAGGATAAAGTCCTTACTCTGTGACTTACTGGCTGTTTGATCTTGGCCAAATCACTTGACCTCTCTGTGTCCCCCAGTTCATGACGAGGGAAATAGGGATAAAATTCCCTCACAAGGCTGTTGTGAAGATTAAATAAGATAACATAGTAAAGTGCTGGCCATATCGTTATATGTCCAACAGATGGTAGCTATCCCATTATTATGAAAGGGGATATGCCTCCAGTTATATAAATAGCAAAGCAAATATAAATAACATTGAGACGTTCGTGGCAATCCATCTAAATGCTGCAGTATTTTAGTGTGCTTTATATATACCTAGTTAAGCCTGTCTAAAGTTATTGTGATTTTTCTCGCTTTAGAGATGAGGAAGCTGAGATCCAAGAAATTAGTAGTTAAGAGACTTCTGCAAGAAGCAAGTAGTTCATGCTTCTTGCAGAAGTTGTCAACAGCAAAATGCTGTTGGGTTGTTAAGTTACATAATAAAGTAATTAGAAGTAAAATACTGATCTTTATTCCAGATGGCATATACATTACATTATGCTTTTACCTGTGTGTGTGTGTGTGTGTGTGCATCTTCCAGATACATGCACATAAACACACAACATACATCATAATAGAACCTTACTGTTTTTATGGTTAGTAACATTTTTCATTAAAAATTATATTGTAAACACCTGTAATTGTTTATATATATATATATATATATATATATATATATATATATATATGAAAATGTAAATTTAATAGTCACATACTCTACTGCTCAGTTTATAAATCACTTTGTTTTGTTTCTTGCTAATTTTATGCACAAAAGTGTTGAATGAATTATTTCTAAGTAAGAGTTCTTTCTATAAAACTGTTATTCTTTTCTTCTATTATTTTTCTAGATGGTATAGAAGATGAATAATATATCTTTTCAAAATTTCATGCAGAGATTATTTAATTTCAACCCAAATAGATTTTTATAACAAAGCACACATAAAAAATTTTTCATGACTATTTTATATGAATAATTATAATAAACTTTAGACAACTTAACAGCTTGTGATAGCCTAAGATCCCAGGAAAAGAAACATTTTGTGTGTGTGTGATAAAAATGGTGTGTTGCAATACTTATGTGAATTATTTTTTAGTGTAAAATGACAGTGTATCTTATTAAATTTTCTGTATCACTTAATAGTAAAAAAGCTGAAAGATACAAGGGTAGTGCTTTTTAACTAATGACACACAAATTGTACTAGAAAGCTAAAAAGTTCGAGTACAATGCACTATCAAGATTTGGGGTCAAGAAGAAAATATCAATCTCTGGAACTAAGACTAACATAAAAATATTGTACAATGGATTACTTATCCCTTTGTGGTAATGCTTTCAACAAGTTACTTATTCAAAAAAAGTATTGATTGTGCCCCTTCTGAATTTCAGCACATGGCCTAGAGAATGTCCCAGAAAAGAAAGGTGTAGTATTAATATGTATTATATAATAAACAGGAATCTGGAAAAAATGCACTGGGATGATAAAGGAGCTTGTAATTTACTTTAAAAAGAAAAGACAGCATATATAACTTGAACAACAGTTATGTCATTTAAAATATAAAGTAATAAGACTAAGAATAAAGGTTAATAAAACTGACAGCACAAAATACACTATAGATGGCAAGAAGAGATTATTTTTCAGGGCAAGTTAGAGTAACCAGAGAAGCTTCTGTGATAGAGGTTCTCTTCTTTTGTTACATATTGCATGTTTATTTTTAATGTTGAAAATACTATGTAAGACGCAAATGTAAATAAAAGACTTTGGGGAAAGTCCCACTCTAGCCTGGGAAATTTCTGACTGATGACTCATCATAGAAATCTAGGGGAAGGAGATAGGGCTGGTAACCTGAGCTGATTGCCCATTCAGTACACTCAGGACTTGATCTCCTCTGTGCTCTGAACTGAGAGCCCAACAGGTCCCTAAACAGGAAACAAGAACTTAGTGCATAGCCTAAGAATGGAACAGGCACTTTGAAGTAGGAAGAGATGTCTAGTTTGCTTCTGGCTAAGTGACCAGTTATGATTCTGAAGTTCAGATAAAAATAGGTTTTGTCATCAAAGCTCTGCGGACATTAGAGCTTATTAATTCATTGATTGATTCACTGATTCACGCAATAAACCATACTAGGTTCCTGCAGGAGATAGAAAACACACACATGGTCAGAAGACAACTTAGGAAAAAATAAGCCTTGGTACTCAAACACAACACAACACACACACACAAGCTCCATTTCCTATAAGAATATTTCTGTGGTAAGGGAAGATATAGATAAGTCAATAGCTATAGCAAAACAAAACAAAACAAAACAAAAAATACAAATAAAAAAATAACAACACAAAAAAGTGCTAACTGTAATGACAGAAGGATAGAATTTCTATGAGAGCCCTCTCTGCTCTCTCACTTTTATACTAGCATTCTCTGTCCAGAGCACAATTCCTGTCCATCCTAGGTCAAACCTATCACCTAGTTAAACTCTACAGTTAGTTCCCCTAACTCTAAGCCTAGATGTCTTTCTTTTTAATACATTTTTATTAATTTCAGAAAGAGGAAAGGAGGGGGAGAGAGAGAGATAGAAACATTATTAGAGAGAATCATTGATTGGCTTCTTCCTGCCGCCCCACACTGGGATCGAGCCCACAGTCCAGGCATGTGCCTTGACAGGGAATCGAACCATGACCTCCTGGGTCATATGTCGACACTCAACCACTGAACCACGCTGGCAGGGCTAGATGTCTTTTTCTTTAGTAACCTTTCCAGAACCCCAAATCTGGGCCAGTGACTCTCCAGGGGGTGACCCTGGCTATTACTGCAGGAGGCACTTGTGACACAAAATTTGATTTGCCTGCTGACCCGTCCACTACCTCCCTAGACTGTAAGTACCACAGGATGAGGACTGTGCTTTCCCCCCTTCAGTACTATCTCTATGTCTACCCCTGTGACGGGGACTAAGTTGTCCTCAGTAAATACTTGCTTGAAATAACTAATTAATTAAAGATAAAATTCATTATTCAAATATTCTGTCTAATATGCATATAATACATACAGAAAAGTGTTTATTGTTGTCAACTCTTGAAACTTTATGAACCATTCGAGTAAGCTATAGTTATCTGAAAAATTTACCTGTGTGAAAACTTTACTCTATAAACATGATGAGTAAATTGTGTGAATGTAGATGAATTATCCATGCTATTAAATTTGTCAACAGGTAATCAAGCAACTTCCAAGACATTTTTGCAACACTCAATTAACCAATGGTGATTGGTGAGGAAAATATGTTAGCAATAGCTAAACCAGATCTCTTGAAAACTTCCCAATGGAACCCTAGCCTCACTCTGCCTTTAGTCAGTGCTATTACACATTTTTAAAGGTTTTTGTTTTTTCCTCTTTATTTCTGATTCTTCATTTTCCTTTGGCAAATGTGCTTATGAGTAAGAAAATGGTCAGAAGACAACTTAGGAAAAAATAAGCCTTGATACTCAAACACAACATAATCATAAAATACCAACACAAAGCGGCATTGATATAGAAATTCTGGAGGAACTCAAGAGAACTGCTGACCACAAAAATTGAAGTAATTGTTAGCATAAATGACTAAGAGAAAATTTTGTTGTAAAAGCAACCAACAGGGATCTTAGTTCAACAATTGCAAAGCTGGTAGAGATTATACTAAAAGTAAAAAAATCATAAAAGAACTTACAATGAAAGAAAAAAAAACTTTAAAGTTGAAAATAACCTATCATATCCACTCAAAACTTGTACACAAGTGTTTATAGCAGCATTATTCACAACGGCTCAAGGTAGCAACAATCCAAATGCCCATCAATTGATGGATAGATATGTAAAAGGTATAGTGATATGCCATGAATGTAATTTGCAATAAAAAGGAATGACACTAACACATGCTAAGAGATGGATGAATCTCAAAAACATTATGCTAAATGAGAGATTGGATCACAAAATATTACATATGTCATTCCTTTTATATGAAATCTCCAAAATAGGCAAAAATATATGAAGACAGAAAATAGGTTAGTGGTTGCTTGGAGTTAGTGGTATGGCAGGATAGAGAGGTTAACAACTAAAGAGTATGGAATTTCTTTTGGAGATGATTAAAGTGCTCTAAGATTCACTGGTTATGGTTACATGTATTTAAGAATATAATAAAAACCATTGGAATGCACCCTTTAAATGGGTAAATTGTGGCATCTAACAGGTTTGGCTCAGTCCCACCTCTGCACGTGAGCTGCAGAGGAAACACCTTTTCTGACCCCTCATTGGCTAAGTTCCCGTACGCCACTCGCAGTGTTCTTGGTAACTTGGGCAATAAGAATCCAAGAAGGTGATCTAGGGTTTTTCTACCTCATTCCTGGAGAAAAATATGAAGGTCCACTGCTGGAGGGGCTAAGAAATGTCATATCCTGCCCTAGTTGGTTTGCCTCAGTGGATAGAGCTTCGGCCTGCCAACCGCAGGGACCAGGTTCGATTCTGGCCAAGGGCATGTACCTAGGTTGCAGGCTCCTCCCTAGCCGGGCACACGTCAGGGTTCATGCAGGAGGAAACCAATCTAAGTGTCCCTCTCACATTGATGTTTCTCTCTGTCTTTCCCTCTCTCTTCTATGTTCTCTAAAAATCAATGGAAAAAATAATCTCAGGTGAGGATAAAAAAAAAAAAAAGAAAGAAAGAAACAAATGTCATATCCTATGAAAGAGACATCTTGAAAATGCCTAAAGAAAGTTGTCATTTTTTTGTGGTGAAGGGACTAGAGTCTGTGTTGATGAAAACACCTTGGCGGCTGCGGCAGCCAGCAGTGGCAGCAGCAGCGGGGTAATGGGGCGGCGCCTTCACCTCATCAGCCTGGTCGCCTCCTGCAGGAAGAGGCCAGACTGCAGCTTAGGCCTGCTCCCCACCTAAGCCATCAGTAGGACATCCCCTAAGGGGTTCCAGATTGGAGAGGGTGCAGGGCAGGCTGAGGGACACAGTCGTGCATAGATTTTGTGCACCAGGCCTCTAGTATACCAATAAAGCTGTTTTTATAAATAATCTACTGGAAATATGGTAAAATATTACTTACCAGGGGAAATAATACCTAATTAGTTTTTTAAAAATATTTTGCAAAAGCAAATAGGCATATGGAAATAAAGCACAGGTGGTCAACTTTTATGCTTAAGAAGCCACATGCTATTCTGATACCAAGTCGCAGTGAGATGGTGTGAAGAACAGTCTATATATCCTGTTCTAAGCCTCCTGCAGGTTTGTGCTAGATAAGAAATAGTTTCAAAACACAAAATAAGTACAGTGGGAAGAAGTATAAAAAGCAGGATTCTTATGGGATAGGTGCTAAAATGTGCCTTATTATTATTTTTTCAGTGATTTGAAGGGACATGTGATAGTTTCATTGTTTTTATATAACTAAAATCTTTTAAGAAAGAAAAAGACAAATCAGTGGAAACAGAATACAAAAATAAATTTTAAATCAAGTGAGCAGAATAGTCACAATTGAATTTTAACACAGGCAAATGCCAAGTAATTCATTTAGAGAGATGGATGGATGGATGGATGGATGGATGGATGGATAAAGAGTGACTTGAACTACTGATGACAATTCTCAGCTCATAAAAGATAATTTTAAGTAATTAAAGATTCTAATATGTTGATTTGGAAAAATTATAGGTCTAATTTAATGACAGCATTTAAAAAACCAGGCTTGTCACATAACATTTTAAGAAATTCAATGGCTTACTAATCTGATATAAAGAAAAAAAAAGGAAAGGAGCAAAGAAGGAAGGAAAGGTGGGTGGGAGCAATGAAGGGAAGAAAGGAAAAAATTTTCTCCTTTGGATATGGGTATTTATTATTGTGTCAGTCGTGATAAATCATCTATAATAATAAAAGTGTAATATGCTAATTAGACTGACAGATGAATGACCTTCTGGACATCATTCTGGACAAAGCCGTGGCAGTAGCGGTCAAGGCAGAGTGGTTAGGGGTGATGAGGCAGGCAGGCAGAGTGGTTAGGGGTGATGAGGCAGGCAGGCAGAGTGGTTAGGGGTGATGAGGCAGGCAGGCAGAGTGGTTAGGGCTGACGAGGCAGGCAGGCAGAGTGGTTAGGGCTGATGAGGCAGGCAAGTGAGTGGTTAGGGGCAATGAGGCAGGCATGCAGAGTGATTAAGGGCGATCAGGCAGGCAGGCAAGTGGTTAGGAGCCGGTAGTTCCCGGTTGTGAGAGGGTGCAGGCTGGGCTGAGGAACCCCTCCCCCCATGCACAAATTTCGTACAAAGGACCTTCAATTAAAAAGAATATTTCAAGGTAAAAAGTTCTCATTGTTGTATGTAAGAATTTGAACTCATCAATAAATTATTTAAGAGAGCTCTTTTAGCTAAAATTTGTTTCGTAAATTCCATCTTTACTGTTACTTTTTTACATTTATATTACTTTAATGTGTTACAGTAATCCAAAGAAGAAATAAATCAATTTATATTTACCTCCTGTTTCTGACCTATTGTAGAAGGTAATAAGTGACTCTGTATCTTCACTCCATCTAACTGGAATATTCCATGTGTAACTAAAGTGATTTAAAAAGAAAAAAAAATAACTTTTATCACTAAAAAAATAAAAACATACCCAAAGTAAACATAATTTTAAAAGCATCTTCTCAGATCACAATAGCATGAAATTAAAAATCAACTACAATTAAAAAAAAAACAAAAACTCTCCTGGTTTATAGGTCAACATTCAACCACGGAACCGTGGTCAACCACTGAGCCACACTGGTCAGGCTAAACAGCAGTTTTAAATATCTAAATTTATTTAAATATCTCAATCAAATTTGCTAGAATATAAAACAGTAACTATAAAATAAACAGTTTATAATTTACAGCATAATCACAGACTTTATTATATTGATTTTTTTGTCACTGAATTATCACCTGGTAACAAGTCACCTCTTTGTTTCAATGCATTCATATATTAAGATGAGGAAAGGGTTGGGGGGGGAGGAGAAGTTTTTGCCATCATAATTTTTGGCTTTCCAAAATAAACAAAAGATAAAGAAGTATATACAGACACACCCTGACTGATCTCATTTGGTCTAGAAACTCAGATTTCCCTTTGTCTTGGTGAGAACTATTATTTTTCAAAACTTGGATTACAGTCAGATCTCCAGTTTCTCTGAATCCCCTTTACTCTGGGAGAAGGACTGTCTGAGAGTTCCAGGAGCTGAGGCCGGGCACGGGCCTCCACAGGTGAGCACCACCCGCTAACTTAGTAATGATCCTCAGTTTTCTTCCAGGCCTTGGACAGAAAGTCTTTTTTGGCTGTTTGAACGTTTGTAAATACCTAACTGTGCTGGTAGTGTGACTTCGTTCCCAAAGCTCTGAACTGGAAGTCAGAACACAGGTTCTGCCAGAATGGAGTACATGGCACAGAGTGGCCTACGGGGCCTGCATTTCTCTAGAAACAATATCCTAAGAGGAGACTGTCCTTTGCAAATCCATCCAACTCAATCCCCTGAATACTGTTTGCTCTTTACTTAGGAATTTTAGCTCAGCCTAATTTTAAAAATATATTTTTTATTGATTTTTTTTCCAGAGAGGAAGGGAGAGAGATAGAGAGTTAGAAACATTGATGAGAGAGTCATCAATCAGCTGCCTCCTGCACACTTCCTACTGGGGATGTGCCCACAACCAAGGTACATGCCCTTGACCGGAATCAAACCCGGGACCCTTCAGTCCGCAGGCTGACACTCTATCCACTGGGCCAAACCGGTTTAGGCATCAGCCTAATCTTTGGAACATCAGGGCAGCCAATCCTTCCATCGTCTCTCCCATCTCTTCACAGAATTGCCCTCTCCCACCTCCCTGTCCCACTCTTGCCCCTCTTTTCTGCCCTCCACAGTGCAGCCAGATGGGAACTTTGAAAAAGATATATGCGTTCCGACAATTCTTTCCTGAAAGTCTTCGAATGTGAGCACTATTGTTAGAAATCTTTAATGTGGTCTGCATGCCAGGCATCTGCCTTCCTTCCCACCACTTTTCCCAGGGCCTCTCAGCTGCCCAGTTTCTTGGAGCCAGACTACTGCATTCAGATCGAGGTTCTATCACTTACAGGCTATGTAACCTTGCATAAATTATCGAGTCATTTTCTGCCCCCGTTTCCCCATCTTACCTAATAAAAGAGAGACATGCAAATTAACCATCACTCTGCTACGCCCACAGCCAATCAGAGTGAGTATGCAAAATAACCCATAAAAGATGGAGGTGAATGTACATATGCTGGCATGAAGCGGCCAGGAGGGGCAGGACACCTGCTATGAGGGGAAGTGGGGCAGTGGAGAGAGCACTGCAAAGCAAGGACTTTCGGGCTCAAGGGTTACTTGGGAACGGGGACTTGCCAGCCCAGGCAGGCCGGGGAAGGAAGGCCTATTCTTGCACAAATATCGTGCAATGCGCCTCTAGTGTTACAATAATCAACCATAAAGTATTTAAAATAGTGCCAGCTACTTAAAAAATGCTCAATGAGGGTCGCATATTAGATATATAATGCTCCTTTTTAACTCTAGAGCCCTTACACATGTAATAGTTTGTTTTGAACATCCCTGATAGTCAAACTTCCACACGCATTCACTCAGCTTAAATCTCCCTTCCAGAAGAAAGAACATCCTCTGCCGCCCTCCCTACCCCACCACACGTCCTGACCCGCCCATTAACTCAGGCTCAGCCAATCAGTGGATACACAGGACAGGAGGGAATAATTACTGTGAGACTTTCAAATGGAAGCCTGTTTCCAAAGAGACAAATACTTTTAAAATTTAATATCAAAAGGCTGCAGTAGTGTTGAATTTGACCAACTAATTTGCTCGAACATAAAACAGTAACTATAAAGAAAGGAGATTATAGTTATTAATGAAACTCTGAGACACCTTCACACCCTATAATTCTCCTTTCTCGTGTTATCCTAATTACTACTGAATAATTGATCTGTGGTGACTTATATGTAACTATAAAATAAAGCCAATGAGAGTAGTAAGAGAGAGATAAAGAGGGTGAAAAGTCTTTTTCAGAGGGAGTCAGGCAGAGGAGATCAGAGGCCAGTGAGTTGGGGTGGATGCAAACTATGTTAAGAAGCTGAAAGAAGAATGCCGAAACTGGTTTGGCTCAGTAGGTAGAGTGTCTGTCGGCCTGTGGACTGAAAGGTCCCAGGTTCAATTCTGGTCAAGGGCATGTACCTTGGATGCAGGCACATCCCCAGAAGGAGGTGTGCATGAGACAGCTGATAAATATTTCTCTCTCATCAATGTTTCTAACTCTCTATCCTTCTCCCTTCCTCTCTGTAAAAAATCAATAAAATATATTTATTTTAAAAATATCCATTCAGTTATACAGACATAGGATAAAGTATTAAGACTTCTGTACAAGTAGTATTTATGCAAGTGTGAACCAGCAACCTTTCAGTGCACAGGATGACGCCCAACCTACTGAGCCACACCAGTCAGGGCTCAATGTCTCTATTTTTTTTAGATAGTATTTATTAACTCACCCATGACAGAGGGTGATATAGTTACTTACGTTACTTTTTCTTCCATTCCCCTTTTAGCAGTCAAAACATAATAAAGTTATTACTGTTATTAGACTTTTGTAGTTTACAATTGTTCCTTTTTAAATAATACACTCATTCTGCTATTTTTATTTTGTAAAAGAGTATTGACACTCTCTCCCAACTGGAAAAGGATATCTAGTGGAGTGCTGGTAATTAACTAGCTTAGGGGTGGGGGTGGGTAGGATATGGTATTTGTTGAATCCCATTAATGTGCATTCTGGCCAATTATTGCAAGCTACCTATATGATGTTACTGAGGTAGGACGGGAGTCAGTGCCAGCACATGACTGAATTAGCATTCCAACACTGTCTTCTACCTTTCTCTCCTTTCCAGTTCCTTTCTTAGGTCAGCAAATATTTTCTGATGACAGTGTTGACTATTTATATTTACAACCTACTCTGCCACCATAAAAAAAAGTATCTGTATTTGTTATCAATTGGTTGATTATAAAAATTGAGAGCCAATAAGTAACATTTATGAAATTACACTATACACATATTGTTGGCCAAGAAGTGTGTTGGAGTTATATTCCCTTCTCTATGGTCTAATTTCATGGTCCCTGAATCATGTAAATAATATTTCCCCCTAACAGCTCTAATATAAAGGTGAAGTGGACTCCTTTTTTATTGTACTTTATCAGTGGCATGAAATTATCCCACCTGCTTCATATTTTTCAATCACAATTGTTACATATAGCCATCTCTATCTATCTATCTATCTATCTATCTATCTATCTATCTATCTATCTATCTATCTATCATCTATCTACTTTTCTCTTTGTATTGATCTAACTGATTGGCCTTCACAAAGTCTCCAAGTTTTTCCATCTTCCCATTCGCTCTTGTTCCTGGAGATCACAGACCTTACCCTCCGTCACCTGCTCTGACTCTTGACACTGAGCCCCCTGGATGGCTGTGGGCCTGCATTTCCTTTCATGGCATTCCTAGATTGGATGCACCATGTCCTGGATCCCATTTCTTCCTCTAGTATTTGGATTATTTTTTCTCTCTCTCTCTTTCCTCCAAGTCTCCTGGAGTGCAGCCTTAGTAACTTTCAAAGAAGTGCTATGTGGGAAACACTTTCTGGAAATGTCTTCACTGTGCATTTTTGCATTTGGTTTTCTTTCATTGGGTGGAGAATGAGAGGTTGAAAATACATCTTGCTTCACCATTTTAGATGATTGCTCCATGTTCTTCTTGCATTCAGGGTTGCTGTGAAAAAGACTAATGCCACACTAACTAAAGTATACTTGTTTTCAAAATTTTGGGGAGTTGTAGCTAGGCATGTGTGTACTCAATACAAAAAGGCATGCACTCAGTGGGGCCTTTTCATCAAAATCCTGATGTCCTTTATTATTATTTTTTTAATATATAATTTGCTCCTCAAGTTTTTCAGTTTTCTTTTTTGTGAGACTTCTATTAGTTGGGTGCTAGATTTTTCACAGCTTCTCTTTCCTATTTGCCAGTTCTATGTGTGTCTGTCTTATATTTTTTGAGAATTCCCCAAATTTATTTCTAGTTAGTCTATTAATTTCTACAACCAAAAATTTAATCTTCCAGAGACCTTTTGTGTCCTCAGTTTGTCCTTTCACAGACATTCTGCTCTTAATGGGTAGAATAGTTTCTTTGATCTCTTTATTCTATAAGTTTATTTTCTGTTTTCTCAACTATGTTTCTTATAGATAAAGGTGTTTTATTTGTTCATGTGGGATTTTTATCTTTTTATGCTTTTAGATTTTTTTGGTGTGGTTTTTGAGGTTTAATTGTCCACTCATATTTAAGAAAAGACTAAATTGATTATTCTTGGTGTTTTGTATGTAATCCCTCTACTGTTGAGAAGAGAGTATTAGTTTTGAAAGTCTTCTCTACTGAACAAGAAGCTTGGCTGGGAGCTCTGTGGATGAATGAGGGGTGCAGGTAGCTGCACCCATCCATCCTGCAAATGCACTGTGAGGGACACTTGATGCTAAATGTCTCAGCCTAAGGGAAATCCTTAGCTTTTCTCCACTGATTAAGTCCATTTCTTTAGGGGGAAAAAGGCCTCTGGCTTTTTGCCTTGGGTCATTGCCAGACATCAGAGAGCTCTGTACAGAGGAAAGGATGGCCAAAGACAAAGGGAAAGGGGAAGGGAAGGTCTGAGGGCCCAATATCCTGAGTTCATTTCAAATCAATTGCCCTATTTTCAGTCTCACTTGTCACTCCTGCTTCCCCTCTCTGGCCCCCACTCTTTATGCTTTCATTCTACTTCAAATCTCTTTTTATTGGCTGCATCTTCCTCAGTTTGTATTTTGTCAATATTTCTCCTGCTTTTTGTCTTCTAGAATTCTATGGTACATATAACCCTTTCCCTCCATTTTCTTTACTTTTTGAGTTCATTTCTTTCAGCAATAAATCCTGGGAAGAATAGGGTGCATTTTGAACCCGGAGACCACTGAGCTATTTTTAAATGCCTTTGTTTCCCTAAATACACCATCCAATATAATAAAAGCCTAATATGCTAAGTGTCCAGTCGTCGGCCATTCAACCAATCAAAGTGTAATATGCTAATGATATGCTAAGGTTGTTCAACTGCTCACTATGACATGCACTGACCACCAGAGAACAGACAATTGACCTATCAGCCAGTTGCTATGATGTGCACTGACCACCAGAGGGCAGACAGTAGACCAGTAAGTAAGCTTGCTGCTGGGGTTTGGCCAATCAGGTCTGAGTAGGACAAAGTGAACACGCCCTGGAGTCCTCCAGCAGCCCCTTCCCAGCTGACCAAACTCCCACATTCCTCCCTGGTACCTATCTCACACTGGTGGGGTCCCTCTGCCTGGCCTGCACCCTCACATGATCCAGGACCCCTCAGTGGATGTTGGAGAACCTGTTTCAGCCCTATCCCAGGCCACTGGTGCACAAATTCATGCACTGGGCCTCTAGTGCTTTTTATATTATCACCCATCAATCTTGTACCAACAAGCAAGATCTAAGCAAATGAGCAATATTTCCATCAACTTTCTGCTTTTCTCTTGAAATGCATTATAGATCCTTACCCAAACTCTGAAGGTGGCAGAGAAGGATTAGCTTTTGGGTCCAATAGAAAGCGTTTCTGTTTGATGTTGTTCATATCATTCACATTAAGGACAGGATAACCCATCTGTTTGGTCCAGGTGTCCATCACTTCTTTCACTGGCAGATTACTTGCCTAAGGTTTAAAAAAAAACACAGAGAATATTTAACAAATCCTAATACATAAAAAGCCAGAGACCATCACGATCTAAATAACCAGATAGATAACTGAGCAGCAGGTTCCCTTCCAGCCCTGGCCTGGGTGCAGTGGCGGAAGGGAGCTCTGAGCCCCAGCTGGGGCATGGTGGAACTCTGGGTCTTCTGTCATCAGGGGCATGGCAGGCCTTCAAACCGGACCCTGACAGGAGGGAGGGGGAGGAGAGAGGAGAGAGCCCCATTCCTCACAGAATCAGCCATTGGACAGCTTGCTGTCACCGGCCTGCCCAGCCAGGAATCCCATTCCCTTTCACCCCAGACCCTGACAGGAAGGAGGAGAAGCCTCCTGGCTGTCTCACAAATGATCGGTAACCTCCTGGCTTTTTCACAAATTATCGTTTGCATCAGTGTTGTTTTTACATCATGTTTTGTTGTTTTTATACCATATCTTTGTTGTTTTATCATGTTGTGATTGTTTATTTATTAATAAATTTATATATTATTTTCATATACATTGTACTAATTTTCTTTCATCCCTGACACTTCTATTATAGAGAAAGGGCAAATAGCAATATTAAAATATTTCCTCTAATTAATTCCCTCTTAATGTGCATGAATTTTGTGCACTGGACAACTAGTGAGAAATGAAAGGATAAATAATCAGATAAAGAAATGATTAATAAAACAAAGAAGTATTTGGGATATACTCTTCCTTACCTCTTTAAGAGCTGCCCAAAAATCTGAAGTTTTTGCATTCCTAAATTTGTATCTTTCCAAATAAATCTGTAAGTGAAAGAAAACAAATACTTTAGGAGTCAATGTTTGCTTTTCTTATATTTCCACAAAATGAGCTGAACCCTTAGCCACATTTCACTTGGATGTGTAATATAGTGTACCTGGAATAAAAATCAAGTGATATACTGTACAAAAAGCATTTTAACCTAAAAAACACTATACAAACAATAACTTATTTGTAAAGCATAAGACATTTTTTTTAAAAATCCTTACCCAATGATATTTTTTCCATTGATATTTAGGGAAAGTGGAAGAAAGAGGGAAAAAGAGAGAAACATCGATGTGAGAGAAACACGTTGATTGGTTGCCTCCTGCATGAGCTCTGACCAGGCTTTGGGCCTGAGGGGGACCATGCTACCAAGGTAGGTGCCCTTGACTGGAACCAAACCAAAGACCCTTTGATCCCGATGCTCAATCCACTGAGCCAAACCAGCTAGGGTGAGAAATATTTTTTCTTATTAATGAGTTTGTTCTTTTTTTTTAATTGATTGCAATTGTGAACCAAGTTGCATTTTTTCAAGACAAATAATATATATATATATATATATATATATATATATATATATATATAGCCAGTGACTGTAACAGCCATAACGATTGTTGCTATGACACCCACTGTGGCCAGCGAACTGGTCCGATCTGGGGATGGGGCTGGCAGCCTGCCCCAGATTGGACTCTCCCACCACAATCAAGAGTGGGCCACTAGCCAAATGCCCTCTCCCTTCCCCCCGGCCAGCCCCACCCCCAATCAACCCGCCCCACCATGATAGGCCCATCTCTCGGCCAGTCTGCCCCTGATCACACCTCCCCCAGCCCAATAGGGGGCGGGGCTGAGTGACCTACCTCCTGCAGCCCCTCCCCCTAAGCCTCTCCCACCCCATAAGAGGCAGGGTCAGCCCACCAACCTTCTGCAGGCCCTTCCCCTGCCCAGCCCCACCCCAGATCGCGCCCCCCCACCCCCCCATCCCATCAGGGGCAGGGCTGGCTGGCGGATTGCCCATGGCCCCTTCCCCTAGCCAGCCCAGCCCTGATTGGGCCCCATTTGGGGTGGGCCAGCCAGCCAACCTCCCACCATCTATCTCCTCCTTTTGACAGGCCCAGCCAGCCTCAATCTGCCCCCATTGTGGAAAAGCTGGCCGGACCCCGCCCATGCATGAATTCGTGCACTGAGCCTCTAGTGAAATATATAAGGGGAGTGAAGTGTTCAGCAAACAGTCAGTAGTTCATAACATTTCTGATCCATTCTGAACAGAGAACCATAATTCTGTGTTCTTTATTTAGTGGTGTTATCCACTGCCTGCTGCATCCTGTATCTTCATATATAGTGGTGTTTTCTCATCTCAGACACTACATGACCCCATTGTACACATAGGTGATTAAGGTGATAATCAATCATAAAGCCAATGAAATTGGCTGTAAGCCAGGGCTCTGCAAACAAAATTGTTTCTAAATTTTTAAGTGGCTGAAAAAAACTTCTACTGTAAAAAGCTATATAGTGAGGGTTTTAAGCATTGTGGGCCATAAAATCTCTGTTGCAGCTACTTAACTCCACTTCTGTAGCAGAAAAGCAGCTATAAATAACATCTAAGTGAATGAGCTGCCTTCCAATGAACCCTTATTTATGCACACTGATATATGAGTCATGATATTCGTGTCATGAATTAATCTTCTCTAGATTTTTTTCAGCCATTTAAAAATTTAGAAATAATTTTGTTTGCAGGCCTCACAAAAATAAGTGGTAGGCCAGATTATAATTTTAAATAAATATACAACCTTTTGAATGATGGTGATGATGATGCAGTGCTGGTGGTTGTGGTGGTGGTACATAAATTGGGGAAATCATTCACTTTAAAGAATAAGTCTTCATATATTTTTAAAATGCAAAATTTTAATTAGAAGACTTCCCCTTTTGGCAACTCTATTTACAAAATCTCTCTATCAGTTTTCAGATATGTGACTTATCCCTAGAGAAATTCCCAGTCTTCCTCTAATCTCATAAGTGAGCACCACTGGTGGTTCTCCAGCAAATCTTGCAAAGTTCCCATTGATTTAAACTACTGCCCTAGTCAGTTTGACTCGGTGGATAGAGCATCGACCTGTGGACTGAAGGGTCCCAGATTTGATTCTGGTCAAGGGCACATGCCTGGGTTGTGGGCTCAAATCCCTCGTGTGGGGTATATAGGAGACAGCCGATCAACGATTCTCTCTCATCATTGATGTTTCTATCTCTTCCTCTTCCTTCTTCTCTGAAATCAATAAAAATATATTTAAAAATAAAATTTAAAAAAAAGAAACATTTTTGAGATCTTCTAACATATGATGCGCTCTACTAGGCACTGGTGTCTATGCAAAGACACGATGACAGAGTTCCTCACTAAAGTTGCTTTATAGCGAGAGGAGATATGAAATCTGAGTTTGAAGCCAATGGGAGAGTTACACAGTGTTCTAAGGCACAGATAAGAACAAGCATACGTGGTAGCTTCCCCTTACCACCTAACGTCCATACAGAACACTTTATTAAGGGACAAAGGTGGAAGAGGTACTTGGGTACTGTCTGAATATATCCTAAATGCTGCTCTGACTACTTTCATAGTCACCTGGGGATTTTAATATTGGGTTAAAAGGGACCATCTCCTTTCCGGGCAGTCGAGAAAATACTAATGCCACACAAGCAGACGTGGTGGTACTGAAAACTACAGGCGTGAGGGGCAGGCACTGCCCTGGGAAGTCACTGCTCGGTGCTCTGCAAAAAGGCTAGCAGGGCCGCTGCTCTGACCTGCGTTCCGCTCTGTGGGCGGGGCACCCATCAGCACTGCTCTGCCTAGCTGCCTGGGGTGTCGGAGCAGGGAGGCTGGAGATGGAAGGCAAACACCAGGAAGATGGACCATCTCCAGGCTGCAATGGGGCCTGCCTGCAGGCTGGTGAGGGATACATTGTCACTATTTTGATTATCAAAGACCCTGAGAGAATTGGCTTAGAGTAGGCTAGGAGCACAAAACCAAACAGGAGTAATAAGCTTGAGTGGGATATGTGAAATGATTTAGAAACTTTATTGTCATTTCCATTTCCAAAGAGGAACAGGCCTTGTTTATTCACTGACTCCACATAATAGGAATGTTTACATTAACCATTTTCAAACCCACTCATAAGGAAATGGTTTTTCTAAAATCTGCAAGAGGCTGAAACCAGTTTGGCTCAGTGGATAGTGCGTCAGCCTGCGGACTGAAGGGTCCCAGGTTCGATTCCGGTCAAGGGCATGTACCTTGGTTGCAGGCACATCCCCAGTAGGGGGTGTGCAGAGGCAGCTGATTGATGTTTCTCTCTCATTGATGTTTCTAACTCTCTATCCCTCTCTCTTCCTCTCTGTAAAAAATCAATAAAATATATTTTAAAAATAAATTAATTAAATAAAAATAAAATCTCCAAGAGAAGACTTTAACAGATAGGACTGTATTTTTATATCATGTTGCTATAAAAGACTAAATCATCTTCCCAGACATTCACCCATGGACGCCCTACCCTCAAGCCAATGTAATGGCGTTTGGAGATGAGGCCTTGGGAGATATTTAGGTTAAGTGGGAAATGTCCCTCTTCACCTCCCACTCCAGAGCCTCCAGAACTGTAAGAAAGTAAGTGCTTGTTGTTTAAGCTACTCGTGTTCCTGGCAGACTCATTCACATGGGACACATACATACACACACACACACACACACACGCACACACACAAAACCAACCACATAATTTGTTTAGAATACTCTGTGAAACTTTTGCCACAGGATAATTATTGATACAATGTACAGTAGGCACTTAAGTGGATGTGAAATAACTTTTTAATGTTTTGCTATGTTGCCTATCCCTGAGTAAAGAAAGTTACAATAAAAAAGATTTTCCCTTAGTTATATTTAACATTCGTCAGCCACATAGTATAGTTTGCTTTTAATATCATTAAAAATAATAAATCATACCTGACACCCTCTTTGAAAATTCCGTGGTGTTATCCAGTCTTCAATCATTCTCAGAATGGAAGCTCCCTATAATGGAAAAGAATTAGAAATTAAGCTGATAAGGGACAAATACCAGTAATTATTATTGTGACTCATTTCATGGTCATATTTGGGAGATTTCTTGAAGATAATTCTGCCAAATTACTAGGTATAGCTTTGTTACTTTGGGGTAAAAATACCATTTTGCACACCCTTGTATCGGTGCTTCTGAAATAACCTATGGATAAAGAGAAATCGAAATAGCTAGCATTTCAGTGGCTTGAGGTTCAAGTAATTATTGTAGTTCACAAAATGAACCAGCAGAGGGGGCCTTTTTAATGAAAGAGGAGAGAACGGCTTATAAATACTATTCTTTCATGAATAAGGAAAGCCGTTTCAGGATACAATTTTGGCTACTCATAATTTATATTAAAATACTTTAAAAAGAATTATATTTAACAGAGGGAAGCATATATTTGATAACTTATATCAAATTACTTGATAAAGTAATTTAATATAGATACATAATTTAGCCATAAAATCCTTTCCTTGGGTTTTCTTTAGTCTAAAGAATTTGATGAATACCTCTGCTCTTTACATTCTTTTTCACATGTTATAACATTAGCACTAACCTTCCCTGTTAATAAAATTTTAAATCAATTTTCAAGCAACTAATCAGAAAAATATATAATTTGGTAATTTCCCTATAATTTATTGAGTACTATAAATTATTTTTGTACATAGAAGAATTAGAAATTTCTATTTTTGACCTAATATCTTAAGCCCATGAAGTATCCAGGACTCAGGGGGAAAAAACTGATTCAATAAATATAAACTTCCTCTTGTGAGTTATTAGAATATTCTGGATTCTAAACTTTTGTTTTAACAGAAGAATTAAAAGGAACCACTGACAGTGTGAAAGAAAAATAAATGAAAGAAGCCTGAAAAGTACCATAGGAATCATATGAGATAAAATCACAAAAGAAGATAATGCTATACATTTCAAAGACTAGTATGTAGAAGGCTGTTTCTTTCACTCAAGTCAACTTATCTAATATACACTTTAATAATTATGATATTTTGTCTTCAATAAAACATTAGGTATCACTCAGACTAACAAAATGTATTAGTTGTCGGTGGCTTTTGAGCAACTTAACATAGTGGGTAAACTCTTAAGAAGCTGAGTGGAAAATGACAAAATTATGCTGCATTGAGGTATGGATATGTTTAGAGGAGAAGCTATAGGACATGTTGTGGAAGAAAATGGGTAAAATAACTTTAGGTCACTGTAGATTTTTCTGCCACTTTTCATAAAATAATAATGGATAAAACTGCCCTTTTACAACATGTTAACAAAGTCATCATTAAATCTTACCTAAAAATGAATAAAGGTAATTCCTCCAAACTGAGTTGAATTTAAATACTCATGAGAAGCACTAAATGATTCTACTAGAAAAGGTGTCCACATGTATGGCATTTCCTGTTGACCACATGGGCAAAACTCACTGCCTTTAAAAAAATAAATAAAACCCTGACTGGTGTTTCCCAGAGGTTAGAGCATCCACCCGCACACAGAAGGATCTCAGGTTTGATCCCCATTCAAGGGCACGACACATCAGGGCTGCAGGTTTGATTCCAGCCCCAGTCCGGGCGTGTTAGGAAGACAACTAATCAATGTATCTCTCTCACATAGATGATCCATGTTTCTCTCTCTCTCTCTCTCTCTCTCTCTCTCTCTCTCTCTCTCTCTCTCTCTCCCCCACTCCCTTCCACTCTCTCTTAAAAAACATATATCCTCGGGTGAGGGCTAACTAAAAACCAAATAAAGCAATTTTAAAATTTTATGCTTCAAAGTTTAAATGTCCAATTATCAGAATGAGTACTGTTATAAACAAAAGTACAAACGTGAACTTTTAAAAAATCTGATTCAAAATCCTGGGGCATTGATCACATTGACCAGTTTTACTGAAGAGTACGAGCTTTTGACTATTCACTCAGAATAGGTTCTGCACTGTTTCTAAAGCCTATCAACATCGATGAACCACATGACCACCATTTTGTGGCATTTACTAAAAGAAAAGCCCCTGAGCAGGAAGATATAAGAACAATGCCCGGGAGTTCCCACCCACCTTGCTGTAGGATATTCCATCGAAAGCAGATGTTATTTCAGCTGGATTTGACACCGTGATGACAATGGGGTGTGAAGACATCAAAGAATCATCCTCTTGTACAGGTAGTACATCTTCAAGTAGCATCTGGTCCCGCTAAAATGACAGAATGAGCCAAAGAAATATAGTACTGCCCTTACACTGGTTCAGATGTCAACACAGCATGTACATAACACAAATTGAGGGAAATAAATATATAAATTATCCCAATTATTTGAAGCAAGCATTCGGTGTTCAAGTCAATCCCATCTGACGCTAATTGGCCTACCCTGATTCCATTACCTTCTCCTATTTATACGTCCTTTGACGTAGCCTCTATATTACAGGCCAAGAAGACACAAGCATCTGTAGATTCCATCTGCTAACCTCTGTGGCTTTCAGACATGTGCCAGATGTTTGAGTCCCTGTTTCCATATCTGTGCAAGGGGAATGATGATACCATCGCCTCCCGGATTTGTTCTGAGAATTATGTGAGGAAGCATATTGATTTAGCAAAAGTTGATGTTTGAGGTTTTTGGTGTTGTTTTTTTTTTTTTGTCAATTAATCATTGGAATTTGGGCCATATATAATTAGTTGAAGAACATATTTACTTTTTCTTTAGTTCAATTAATAATCATCGTCTCATTCCAGTCCTATTTTTTCACCAAAATAGAGTGCTGTGCTGTCCAGCCTCATAGTCTTTCTTGGTTCAAAGCTCATTCCTTCCATTTCCTCGATATGTAAGTTCAAACAAGTTCCCTTGCCTGTTAAATAGGTCAGTGTTTCCCAAAGTGTGGTACACGTAACCCCAGGGGTACAGAAAGAGTTTGATGGGGGTACACGTTGCACAGGAGTTTGCTGGGGATATGCACTGCACCAGGCTTAGCTGTGCCTAATTCTACATTCTCATGAGTACGAGGGGTACTCAGTGTTACGAAAATTATAGAAGGCGTACACATATGTCAAAAGTTTGGGAAACACTGAAATAGGGTAATGGTGACATCTACTTTTTAGAATTGTGCAGCTGATTCAATGAGCTAATAGTGCATGGTAAGCAATTGGCAGTACCTGGCATAAAGGGAAAAACCTAATGCATCTATTACTTAATGTTGATTCTTAATCAATTATATATATATATTCTAAAACCTAAATTAGTTAAATCACTACTACTAAAAAAATCAAAAGCTTTATTGGTCTTACTGAATTAAAAATATCAGTTTACATTTTCAGATTTTATGATTTCCTTTTATAATAGTCAAGGTCCTATTGTCAATCAAGGTAAAAACTGAGAGGAATTAAGAGCATAAAGTTTTCAAATGAGGATTCAGAAGTACAGAAGGTATTCCAAATACCTAGAAATGTATTTATATGCAAAGTTACAGAATATTAGAGTGATGACTACGAAGTGATGGCTGCAATCAAAGTAATTTTGACTTGGCTTCAATTTTTTCTGCTCCAGTACAATCTTTAGGTAAGTAGACAGAATCCTGTTCTCAGTATCAGGAAGTTTTACTCTAGTCTTAGTTGTGACAATGGAAAGTTATATTACCCTTAGCATCACATTTTCACCTGTGAAATGAGGCTCCACTATTGTGGTACTTACCAAGCCCTTGTATGATTCTTTACCTGCCCTTTCCACCCACAAGACACCTATTTGGGAACTTTTTAATGACAGATATTATTTATTCAGTTTTAGGTTTTTTGTAGTGAGAAACGAATGAATGAATAAAAAATGATTGAGTTCAACTGTGTGATTAGATTTTAAGAATTGCATATTAAATTCTTCTGGGATTTAATTGGTGTTTTTGAAATACTGAAATTGGAATGTTAAAGTATAGTGGATTATATGTAACAATATTGAAATGTTATAATTTATTATATCTTGATGTAAGAAGGACATCAGGTTATTTTATAGAAAAGACATTTTTTTCCTACATAGCTTAATTTCAATAAAGTATGAAACCAGCAATTTTCAGCATAGATGAGTAGTTCTCAACCAGTAGATTATATTCTTGTCCCCAGGAGACATCTAGAAATATAGGAAGACATTTTTGGTTTTACAACTGGAATGGAAGGATAACTGGCATCTAGTAGATATAGTATCGATAGATATAAGCCCAAGACATTGCTAAATATTTTACAAGACACAGAAGAACAGCCCACAATGAAGAATTATTGTGTCCAAAATGTCAAGTTTCATAGGTAAAAAAACAACAACACTGATGCATATTAGATTTGTAAAGAAACAATTGTTACAAATTAACTTTTTCATTTTTTAAAGTAGATTGTGGAAACTAGGGCTTCAAGCATTTAATATTGTCTTTTTATTCTATCCACTAGAGGGCAGTAGTCCATACAGTACACAACCGTAATTCTCTAATTCTACATTTACACCCGCTTTCATATATACAAACAAATAAGAATATTCTCACTGTCTAAATAGAAATACAAACAGACCTAGCTTTTTGGAAAGACATGTCTGGAGAGTTCACAGAAGCCTCTGTTCCAGGCTCCTCGTATGATAATAGTAATTGCCTGTGCATTTTGGGAGCTTTTAAGCTTACAAGATAGAGAACCATGTTTTTTCATAAAAGATGTGACTGACTCAGAGAGGATACGTAACTTGCTCAAGGTCACATTCCCTGTAAAGCACCAAAGCATCTAGGATTTGAACTTGAGTTGAACTACTTAAGTTTATGCTCTTATCTCTCTACCATACTCTTTCAGCAACCTGTGTAAGGTACGTCATTCACAAAATTAGGCTTCGACATTTTTCAGAGGATTAGCACTACAGATACTTTCTTGAACACAGAGATGGCATTGTTGAAGGCAGCTATTTTTTCCCTGCCTTGACACATGTTCTTGAGTGACTCTATTGAGGACATCCTCAGATCCTGGTGTCAGTTGCCCTCTGGGGCCTGGGCCTGGGCTCTAAGTAAGGTCCAGTGCGGTAGAGCCAGCTGGCTCCACCCCATTCTCACAGTGGAATTCCCAATTCACCACTTCCCTTGGCCCCAGACTCTGGGTCATAGTCCAAATGCTTCCATCTGCTCTGCATGAGAAAAATAGAGATTTGGAGCTTGTATGCTTAGGACTCACCATTTGCCAGTCTCTTTCTGCGTGGTTTACTCCCAGGAACTCAAAGAAGGACGCGAAGCCTTCATTCAGCCACAAGTCTTCCCACCAATCCATGGTCACAGTATTTCCAAACCACTGAAATGTAAGCAATAGAGCCATAGTTAAAGTCTTGTGCCTTTGATAGAAAAATCTCAGTACGTTCGTTTGTTCCTGTAAATTTTATCACTTGTCACGGAAGTGGCAGGCATTCTAGCCTTTATCTCCTGATTTTAAAACGATCTTAAATTTTCCTTCGTGTCTTGCCTTTCTTTAGGCATTCCGGGGAATATTTAAAGTCATAGAAGTGCATTTACTAAAGGCAAAACAATGTGTCTTAAAAGTTTCAACAATAAAGAATTAAATATGAAATTAAAAAAAAGTTTCTCTATCTACTACAATGTTTATCAGCACTAAGAAAGACTTTCAAGCAGGATTGTTTGAGTAGGCTTATTTTTAATTTGCTAAAGTATAACTTATTTCCATTTCAAAATGAGCTAATTTGATGCTAAGATTCCATACCTGATGAACAAGTTCATGGGCAACCACAGCAGCAACCCTCTGCTTGTTGGAGGAGGCCGATTGCTGGGGGTCATACAGCAGGTTCGTTTCCCGGTACGTGATGAGTCCCCAGTTCTCCATCGCCCCGGTGCCAAAGTCTGGAATAGCGATCTTATCTACAGAAAAAGGAAGAGTCCTGTCAGAAATACATTCTTTCCATTTGTGCATAAAACTTAAGTTCTTTGGATGAAGGTATTTTAAAAAATCTAAAAATAACTTCTCAGTCTTCATGCACTCAAAGTTTCCATGGCCCTTTTCCTGTTGGCTCCAGATAGCAATGTGTCGTCATGTGTTTTAGCAACGATTTTACTAATTATACATGTTTACTAATGGCTACTCTTTGTGAGACCTCTGTAATTTTGTGTCTTTTTGTCCCTCTCTGGACTTCACTTTAATTAGCTTTTTAAATAATTTTCACTTAGATAACACAGAGTATCTGTTTTGGAGACAAGCTGTGAAAAATTAAGAGAATGATGTTTTCAAAGGAGGACTTAGAAGTACAGAGCTTCCAAGTGCAAAAAAAAATATATTCTTCTATCGAAGGTTACAGAAGATGAGAAATATAAATTCTACTCTTTCCATAACTCTGTGTAATTTGAGGTCGACCTGACTCCCTATGAATGAATAATTTACCATCCACTTGTATATATTAAAGTAGCTGGATCAACATCAAATTGACACCCTAGCTGGTTTGGCTCAGTGGATAGAGTATCAGCCTGCAGACTGAAGGGTCCCAGATTTGATTCTGGTCAAGGGCACATGCCTGGGTTGCAGGCTCCATCCCCAGTAGGGGGCATGCAGGAGGCAGCCGATCAATGATTCTCTCTCATCATTGATGTTTCTCTCTCTTCCTCTTCCTTCCTCTTTCTTCCTCTCTGAAATCAATAAAAATATAATTCTTTAAAAAGATGGAATTGACTCAATTCTCTCTAAATTGATTTCTAGGTCTAAAATGTTGAATTTTATCACAATTTCCTATTCCTTATTTTTGCTGGGTCTTATGATCTTAGACATACTATCTGACCAGAAGACATGTTGATCAATTCTATGCTAAATATTAAAACAGAAAATATTTTGTTTGATTACTGCTCAGATTACCATCCAGCTAGTGAACTATAATAAGAATTTCTTTATCATTACATAGAATTTAAATGAGGCACATAAGTGAAAATAATTAAAATTCCATCGAACATATAAGAAAAGCCTTTCCCGGTTAAAATAGAGATTCTTAAAGCTTTTTATAAAAGAATGAAAATTGATAGATCTTAAGTGGAGGTCAAGATTATGGCTATAGTTTACTTTTCATATTATCTTCATTCTTATGTTTGGTTTTTGTTTGTCTTTTTCACAAGAATACCACTTAAAAGGTAGAGAAGTATTCCCCACAAGGGCCAATATTTTCCATAGTGTTATGAAGAATTTAATTTTTTTGGGGGGGATTAATAAACACAGAAGTCATTTCTAAGGGAAGTCTAAGATGGTGTCAATACTGAAAAGATTGGAGTTGAAATGCATGTAGAAATATGGAGGAGGAGGAATAGGAGGATGAAGACAAGGAAGAAAAGAAGTTGTAGTATAAGTTGTAGTAGTAACTGTTACAATGATAGTTCTTATACCAGTTGTAGTAGTTATAGTAGTAAAAATAATTGTAGCAGCAGTAGTAATTGTTGCAGTTGTAGTAGAAGTAGTAGTGTGACGTGGTAGTCATAGTAGTTGTGATAGTAATATAATTTTAGCAGTTGTAGGAGTAGAAGTATTAAGAGTAGTGGCTGTGGTGGTGGTGGTGGTGGTGGTAGTAGTAGTAGTAGTAGTAGTAGTAGTGGCAGCAGTATTTGTGGAGAGAAAGGAACAAAGCAAAGAGAAGAGAGAAATAAATATGTGAGATTTCCACTTCCTAGGATTTCTTGGGTGGTACAAGTGAGATAGAGAAAAAAAAGTTCTTTAAACTGATGTGCGGAACATTTTATTAAACATTCAGATTTTGATGAAAAGTTGTTTCTCTTCCTGTCTCCTCTATTGGTAATAGTTGCTAAGCAATCAAAAAAAGAAACTGCATCTACTGCCATTGAAGAGAAAATCTATATACTGTTTAGAGCCACAGCCATTCCCATGTAGAGAATTTGGCATTCCAGTTGCTTTGCATCAAGAATGATATCAGACATCGATATTAGTGTCCCATTCAAAGTCTTTGTTAATACCATTGAGGTTACAATAAAGAATTTCTGCTATTGATAGAAGTATCATACCAGTATCATTTTGATTTAGCTCTATTTTTATTTTAAAAATAAAACTGTTCCCTCAGAAAAAAAATATTTAGTAAAGGAGCACCATTGTTTTATTTTAACTGTTGAAAAATCTAGAATTAATCCTGTGTAACAATAGAAAGACTAGATGCAGATGGGACTTTAACAGCATCATTTATTCTTATTTCTCAACTCATTGATGGTAAGGAAGCAGAGTATGCTATTGAAACCCATTGGTGTAGGTTGTGATTTCTGGTCCTTCATTATCAACATCTGTAGTTTTGTGCAGTACAATACTTTAATTTTTATTTGGAGAGAAAAGACTATATATTATCAGGAAAGAACAGAGTATAGATATTCTTGGAGGAATCCAGAATAGATCTTTCCACATCTATTAAGTATTAAACACATACTGTAGGCACACAACAAAAAGATTTAAGCATGGGTATTAACTAAGTATGATAAACCTGGAGGAAGTTAACTAACTTAAGTGAAAACAAAAACAATATTAAAAATAAGAAAATAAATGATTCTTACCTAATTTAGGAAGTGAATAATTCATACCAAAGTATTCTTCATAATAATCAAACACAATTTGAGTTATGTTGGCAGCATATTCACCTGTGTGCTTTTGCTCTGGCTGGACATATACAGTGAGCTATTAAACAAAACACAAACATCAGTGAAAATGAGTCTCCATTTGATAAAACTTTTGAAGCAGTGTAAAGAAGGTGGGCTTTCGAGCCAAATAAGCCCAATTTGAATCTCAGTTCTTGCGTGGACAAGTCATGTCACATCTCTGAAACTCATGTGTAAAGCATGGCTCGCTGAGTGATGTCAATGATTAGAAATAATTTAAGATAATGCTTGGCATACTATTTAATACATTTTTAAAATGTTATTACAGGAGAGAATCCAAGATGGCTGCCCAGGTAAACACCTAGCCGCAGCCGCACACAACAATTTCAATAAAATACAACTAAAATATAAAATGGACATTACCCAGAACTATAGGAAAGTCGACTGACTGGAAATTCTACAAAGAGAAGCAAGGAGAAAACCAGAAAGAAGAGCGGAGGAGCTGTAAAAGCCTAAGGTACAGAGACACGCAGCGCGCGGAGAGGATGGAGCCGGAGGGGAGGGAGGCTGAGTGCCTGGCTGGCATTCCCTAGCAGGAAGGAGATAAAAGCTCTGACTGTGTTGGGCCCCAGTTCCGACTGCTCTGAACCCCAGTTCTAAGCCAGACCCCGGGGACCCAGGCTCAAACAGAGGAAGCTGGGCTGTAAAGCGGAACCCCGGGGGAGCAGCAAAAGGAGGTCCCAGAGGCACGCACATTGCGCGCAGAGAAGGGACGGTTGGCTGTGCCGTGGGATTCCCCTGGTGGGAAGGAGACAGGGGCTCCAGACTGCTCTGAACGCCACCTCCAATCCCACTTCCAACTGAACTGAACCCCAGTTCCAGGCTCATTGGGGGAGAGCCTAGACTGTTTGGTAGCAGGCGAAAATCGAGGGCATCTTTCTCTCAGAGGCGTTTGCAGCGAGTACTGAAGGACCCTGAGACCCAAGACCCGCATAAGGTGGGGCTGACGGAAGCCAAGGCTGTAGGCTCCACCCTGAAACCCCGTCCCATCTGTAGCTGCGAAATGTGACAACGAAATAGATCACAAACGAAAGAAATGGAGGATAAAAAACGACTGGATATAGAGTTCAAATCTACAAGGTTTTTCAAGAATTTCCTAGAAAAGATCGATAAGACCTATGAGGATATGAAAAGAGATCAACTAGAATTAATAAGAAATCAATAAGAAATGATAAGGGATCAACAAGAAATAAAGAATACATTGTCTGAAATAAAAAATATTATACAGAGTTCTAAAAACAGAATGGAAGATCGCAAGAATCAAGTCAAAGATGTGGAACATAAAGAGCCAGAAGACACTCCTCCACAGAAGCTAGAAGGCAAGAGAATCCAGAAAATTGAAGATAATGTAAGAAACCTCTGGGACAATTTCAAGCGAACCAACATCAGAATTATGGGGGTCCCAGGAGATAAGAGAGAGCAAGATATCGAAAACATACTGAAAGAGGCGGGGCTGGTGCGGCCAGGCCCGGAGCAGCGGCTGCCAGGCTGGGAGCGGCCAGGCCCGGGGGAGCAGGCGGGTCGGGTTCGGCCAGGCCCGGAGCAGCGGCTGCCAGGCTGGGAGCGGCCAGGCCCGGAGCAGCAGCAGCCAAGTCCAGAGCAACTAGGTTGGGAGCGGCAGTGACCAGACCCGGAGCAGCTGGTTGTGGAATGAACCAGAGCAACAGAGGCCAGGCCCTGAACAGCCAGGCCCGGAACAGCTCGCTCCTTGCCTGCCCCTGCCCCACGGCTGCTTCTCAGACATGGCTGGAAACTTTCGTGGGAACTTGAGTGTCTGCTGAATCAAGTGATGAAGGCTTAGATCTGGATGTGTTGAGTTAGTTTAGGACTGGGGTGTTGATCTGTGAGTGCCTTGGGTGGGGCCTGGATGAGGCTGGTTGATCTAGTGGGAAATGTCTTTTGTGTGAAGTGTATCATTGGGCATGTGGAGGTATTATTGATATGAGAAAATGCTAAGTAACTGATTTACTATCTGAAAAGGGATTTACTATTGGGGAAATTGAGGGAAGTAGAGACTGAACATAAACTGCACCTATGGATGAGGACAATGGGGGATGGGGGGGGACAGAGGGTGGGGTGGGAACCTGGTGGAGGGGGGAAGAAATGAGGAACCTTTGTAATAATATGAACAATAAAGATTGCTAAAAAAAAAAAAAAAAAAAAAAAGAAAACATACTGAAAGAAATAGTGACAGAAAACTTCCCCACCTGGTGAAAGAATTAGACTTACAAGTCCAGGAAGCAGACAGAACTCCAAATAAAAGGAATCCAAAGAGGACCACACCAAGACACATCATAATTAAAATTCCAAGAGCAAAAGACAAAGAGAGAATATTAAAAGCAGCAAGAGCAAAGCAGGTAGTTACCTATAAAGGAGCACCTATACGATTGTCAGCTGATTTCTCAACAGAAACCATGCAGGCCAGATGGGAATGGCAAGAAATATTCAAGGTGATGAATAGTAAGAATCTACAGCCAAAGATAATCTATCTAGCAATGCTATCACTCAGAAACAAAGGTCAGATAAAGAGCTTCACTAATAAAAAAAAAGCTAAAGGAGTTCATCAACACCAAACCAGAATAATATGAATTGCTAAAGGGGGTTCTTTCAGAAGAGAAAGTAAATAAAGATAAAAATTAGGAACAACAAATACGTAACTATCAACAAGTGAATCTAAAAACCAAGGAAATTAAAAAAAAAAAAATCTGATGAACAATATTAACTCTTGAATATAGTAGAATAGAGGTATGGAAGGGGAGTGAACTGAAGATTCTTGGGGAAAAGGGGAGAAGGGGATGTGAGAAGAGACTGAACATATACTGTGCACCTATGGATGAGGACAATGGGGGGTGGGGAAAGGGCAGAGGGTGGGATGGGAACCTGGTGGAGGAGAGCAATGGTGGGGGGTGGGGGGAAGGAACATTTTTTTTTTTTTTTCCAGTGGGCAGCACTGGCTTTATTGTCCCGCCGTCTAGATGACGACACCAGCCCAGGGCAGCAGGCTCAGGCGGCAGCGTGCCCGACCTGGTGCTGCTGGGCAAACCACTGCATCCGGTCCTCGAGCTCCAGCCGGAAGTGCCAGATCAGGCCCTGCACGGGCCAGGCAGCAACATTTGTAATAATATGAACAATAAAAATTTATTTAAAAATAAAATAAAATAAAATGTTATTACACTTTTCTACTTCAGACTTATTGACATTTTAATATCTATGTATTGATGTACTAGTATAAAGCTACCTATCCACCTTCCTTCTGCTCTGTCATCTATCGATCTATCATCTATGTATTATCTATGTGTAATTTGTCTTTGGAAAATCAATCATGTGATTTTTCTCATCTAAAGAGCTCTTGGGTACATGTTTACCACTATTCTATCCATCACTATGCCAATGACTGTTTTGATATTTTAACTATTCTATTCGAAGATTCTAAAGTAAAATGATTTAAGATTTTCCTGAGTGGGAGGCCTCTTGATAAGCTACACCATTCTATAGAATATTATATTGTGACATCATTTATAAACCAACCACGTACTGATTACACCACCACCACCACCACTATTTCTAAGAATCTATGGCCCACAATTGTCAACACAATGTTGAAAGAGGAAAAACAAAGTTGGAGTACTGATACTACCTGATTCCAAGATTTACTACAAAGCACCAGTAATCAAGACAATATAGCAAAAAAATAAAAATACACACATAGATCAATATAACATGCTAGTCCAGAAATAGATCCACATAAATATAATTAACCGATCTTTGATAAAAAAGCAAAGACAATACAATGGAGCAAGACAGTTTGTGTGTGTGTGTGTGTGTGTGTGTGTGTGTGTGTGTGTGTGTTTAAAACAAAATAGTGCTGGAGCAGCTGAATATCCACATGTAAAAAGTAATAAATCTAGACACAAACCCTATACCATTCACAAAACTTGAAACTAGACTAAAATGTAAAATATGTAACTATAAAACTCCTAGAAGATAAAATAGAACAAAACTTAGATGATCTTGGATGTGAAGGTGACTTCTTAGATACAACACCAAAGGCATGATCCATGAAAGAAATAATTGACAACATGGACTTCACTAAAAACTTCTGCCCTGTGAAAGACAGTGCCACGTGAGGAGACAAGCCACAACTGAGAACAAATATTTGCAAAAGACATATCTGACAAAGGTATATTATCCAACATATACAAAACCCCGAAAACACAAGAAAACAACCAGATTAAAAAATGGACCAAAGACCTTAACAGATACCTCACCAAAAAAATATATCAAATGGGAAGTAATATATGAAAAGATGCTCTACATCATGTATTACCAATGAGATGCAAATTAAAAGGAGATACCACTAGACACCTACAACTGCCAAAATCTGGACCACCGACAACACCAAATGATGGTGAGGATGAGGAGCCATAGGAGCTGTCATCCTTGCCATGGGGAACGTAAAACTGCTTTGCAGGACAGCTTGGTAGTTCTTATAAAACATACTCTGACCATATGATCCAGCAATCACTCTCCTTGGCATTCAACCTAAGGAGTTTAAAACATGTCCACACAAATTGTGCACAGATGTTTACACCAGCTTTATTCATAATTCTCCAAGATGTCCTCCAGTGAGTGAATGGATAAATTGTGGTACCTCTAGACAATGGGAAATTATTTAGTTCTAAAAAGGAATCAGCAATGGAGCTATGAAAAGATAGGGAGAAAACATAAGTGCATATTACTAAATGAGAGAAGCCAATCTGAAAAGGCTATATCCGGTATGCTAGTAATTCCAATTATGTGACATTTTGGAAGAGGCAAAATTATAGAGACAATAAGAAGATCAGTGGTTGCTTGAGGTGGGGGGTGAGGAGGAGAAAGAGATGAGCAAGTGAAGCTCAGAGGATTTTTAGAGCCTTGCAAATGCTTTGTTAATAGAAAGTACAACCAAAAATTAACCCTAAGTTTACTAACCTTGGGTATCATGGTGTGTCAATGTAAGTTCATCCATGGCTTTTTTTT